ATAGTCCCAAAAAAATTGATAATCATCAAGTTATAAGTGTGTTTTCTTGTTACTTCGGCGATGTAACACCCGAAACAGAAAAACAGGTATTTGTTTTATTATTGTACCTTACACATGGATTAGGGTAACAATATTTGGTAAAAGTAAGGTCATGGTAGTAATGATTTCAAATACTAACTAATATCTGAGCATGATACTAATTTAGTATGTTTCTTTCTTGATTAAAAACTGTAACACCCGAAACGTTTCGGGTATTACATTTTTATTTATATGTCGATAATGTGTGTATATTGCTTGGAGAAGTGAAAAAGTATTACTGTGAGGGTCCTTTGACCTCCCACTAGCGCTGGCATCGGAAAAGGAGTCATATTTCTCAATTTAAGACTTTTTTGAAATGTCGACTTAACACTAAAATTAAGGTATTGCTAAAAAGTGTCGATGTTTGACATTTCCAATAAATATCGTAATTAGAAATTAAAGTAATGCTATTTCAAGCCAAAAACAATAGAAAAAGCTATATTCTGAGGAAAAATTAAACTTGAACTTTGTATATTATTTAAAAAAAGCTGATTCGTTATTTCAAACCAGAATTCGCTCTATTTGTGTTTATTTGTTGTACTCCTTATTTTGTAGTACCTAGAGACTAATAAAACACCGATTTAATCGATAAAACGCGTTGAATTTTCGTACTCGTAACACCCGAAACAAAACCATTGTAACACCCGAAACAAAGAAAAAATTTATAAAAAAATAGTAAAACGTTTTATTTAACAGTGATTGTATGTTACATGGTTTGTAAATTTCATACTTTAGAAGTCCTGTAAGTTTTAGGTATGATTCCTTAAGAAAATTCGCTAAATTTCGAGTAAATGCAGCAACAGTCAGAACATAGAGGCAAAATCTCGTAACGCCCGAAACGCACACTTTTCGACTCATATTTTCGTTATTCTACATTCTAAGCTGTACAAACTTTATTATTTAGATGAAACAACTAAAAACGGACAGATTAAGGCACTAACATTATTAAAATACTATTTCAAAATACATGAAATTGTTGAATATGTGTGTACGAACGTAACACCCGAAACGATGGAATGACCCTTTAGCGCCTTCCCTGGGGGGCGCGCCTCGTACTTTGGGAACCCCTGGATTAGAGAGACCATAGCACAACTTTTCCAAAAGAACACATCATAACATTAAACTCTGGTCTTAAGCTGAATTATTTTCAATCAATGGTTATAGTGTGATTAGACGCCATTATCACTGATAGAGATCTCTTTAATGTAATTCAAGGCAATATTTCAACACGGTGTTATCAAAGTACGATTAATATTTTACATGTAGGTAAGTAGGTAATTCAATTTCTTCTCCTCTAGACAAAGTAAATGATAGTATATAGCTGCGATTCGTCTTTTTACCCGACTGCGCCAGAAAGGAGGGTTTTAGCTCATATTAGGTCGCTCCGTGACACGAATGTTTTATTTCCAGTTCCTCCATGGTTGAGGATTCCGGGTGAAGCTCGCTTCCACCTTCGGCCTGATCATCACTTCCCATCAGGTGTGATACAGGCCAAGAGCTTCCTCGTTGTTTATAAAAGAATATATATTTATCATTTTATTTCTTCAATTAAATATTGTGAGAATTTAAATCTGCTACCAACTATGTACTACGAAATTATCCGGGTAGAAGAACCCAACACCATAACTGAGCAAGTAGCCACTGACCTATCTATCGCGTCGCGTATTCGTAAAATTAAGGCAAAAATAAATTAAGAATATCATTTCCATTTTCTGACTGATTATTGTCTATTGTTATTAAACTTTTCATTCATAAAAGTGGATAAAAAAATAAGTAAACAAATAAAAAAAATAAGACAGCAAAAAGGCGAAATTATCAAGTTAATTATTTTTATTTGCGGAACAAAAATGTCATGTTATTACTTACAGGTATTCACTGAGTTAGTTCTAATTATGTTCTACCGATATTTATTGTATTGTAGGTACCAGTGTACAAATGCAATACATTAATATTAATCGATCAATTTACGAGTAGTTAAGAATAGAACAAATTATTTATGACATAATGTCAAGTAAATAAAATAATCGCTAATTATCATTAAAATATTCGCTAACACTGTAATAACTTATAAATAATAAAAATCAACTTTAGATTAACCCGACTGCGGCAGAAGGAGGGTTTATATTTTTTTAATCGTAGTAACTAAGTAGGTAAAGTAATTTTTAAAAAACTTAAAATTACAAAAGTAACGTAATTGAATAGAAAATTGTCCTTGTTATGATAAATTCAGCATTTTACATAACTGATTATGTTTAACCTTCGGAAGGCAACAGGGGTGACTGGTCACCCCACCAGTTCAAAAAAGTCTTGATACGTTTAGTTGCTGATGTTGTGCCTTTCTGTCGTTTGGTCTATTCTCTAATTGGAGAGAAAGCTATCAGTCGCATTCGTCAACATATAGCGTTAGGCTCCTGTTTTTGATATTTTGACACTGCTGGGGTGATTCATCACCCCTGTTGCCTTTTACGTATACTTTATTTTTTCGTGTTGCTAAAGTAAATAATTGGTTTTGGAGTAAAAATGGCTTTGTTTTCGAATGTTCAAATCGAAAAATACATTTATAGACTTGCTGATGTCAATTTCTATGATAAACGCTGCTCAAATGATAATAAGATTTCCAAAATTGAAAACAATATCTAAGTTCAGTCGGAGGAGGAAGACTTTATTTCCAATAGCGAAAAATTGTTACGACGATGACGTTCTACTAGCACAATTCGAACATAACGTGCTACTATGTAAGAACGGACATGTTTTTGGTCTTCTTGGTTCCATCACCTTGGAGTCAAACATCACGACGAAATATAGTAACTGCTGCGAGAGATACGAGAATTATAGAGCAATTACACATGACATTCTAAATATGAACTAAGGACCTCCTGAGGGTGCACCTTTAGCAAAGTTACAGAAACAGGCAAGGTGAGTGCTGTGTCAAAGAAAACTAGACAAAAAAGTTAAGACATCTCGTATAAAATGTCAACTACCCTCATGCCCTCAACATCGCAAAGATATTAGCTTTAACTGTGCTTAATGTTAAAAAAATAATTATTAAACATATATAAACTGTTAAATGAAAGCATTAAAAGTTTTATAATGAAACAAAGTAATAGATCTTATCATTAATTAGTTTGATTTTTCATCACAAAGCTTTTTATTTCAAATTGAATTTGTGGGGTGACTGGTCACCCCTGTTGCCTTTTACGTATACAAAAAAAGTGTTGCCTGCCGAAGGTTAACTATGACCGGACAATCATGAACTATGACCAAACTCTTTTGTTACTATTCTGTGAGTAGGAAATAAAAAAGTGTTTCGTATTTACCAACAATTACAGCAGCATACTGCTTCAAAACTGGATTTCGTAGGAAATCCAACATTTTCACTGGCGAATTTAACTCTGTTTATTTATAAATCTCACGCACGAATTATTCCAAAGCGAAATAGATTTCAACACCACATAGCCTTTGCGTTGACGAACGCACTATGATCTTGTGGCTCTTGTAGTAAACTCTCAACAATCCATCCTGCAAGTGACTATTGACATCAAAATGACGCTTTATTTTGAACCTTAAAACAATAGTCTTAAAGGCTATCGAAATACAAGTAACCTCGACCACGGTCCTCGACAGTCACCGCACTTGTCGTCATCGCAACAATTCTAATTTGCAAAAATACATTGCGAGTTATCTAAAGTAGGATATCAGCACAGTTCAATGACACTACGAAGTGTATCACGTAAGTTGTGAAGGAATCTTTGGTGATCGCAGAACCGGTTTTGGTGTTGTGAAATTTCGCGGGAGAGTGGTCAAAACAACCGCCATTGAACTCGATGGTGGGTATGTTAAAGGTAAGCTACCCCCACCTGACAGAAATTATGTAAAACTTGCATTTTAGTCGTGCAGTCTTTTTCATTGATATCTTCGAGTACCTATTTCGGGTTTAATAAAACTGCAGGTTTAATAAATAAATGAAAAAAATAAATCGTTTCAAAGCTTAAAGATTATTTTATAAGTAGGTGAGTACCGGTATAATTACAGGAATACTACCCTAGATAGTAAACCACGTAATCATACTACCTTCCACCACCACGACACGTGACGACACAGACCACGATTTTGTGCTGTGTATTTACTTCTAAAAAACTTTTTTGTTTCCCGCGCAAAAAAGCGCGCAAAATTTGTTTCAAAATAAAAAGAAAGAGGGTGATAGGGCATAAAAATATTAATGTCTTACTAGCAAAGCGACATCTATTATTTTAATTGAACAATAAGAAAATTTTAAGAAAAAAGAATATATTTTTTTATCCGTTACTTCTTCATGCTTTTACCACTCTGAACAAATTTAGATGAAAGGTTTTAGATACTGTGAGTCCCAGGAAAGTACTTGATAGATTCATCCTGGTTTTAAACAGGAACTTGACCTTTAAAGTTTTTGTGATAGAATGTCATTCACGCGGCCCGGCCGAAGATAGGAATATCTAGGAAGATAGGATTTTTTCTAAAAAAAACCTTTGAATATTGAGATGATTGTCGAGTCGAGACACTAGGTGCTTAATTTTATTTGGAAAAGGTTTTTAAGTTAATTTGGGTTTATTACGAAATTATGTTTTTATTTTGCTTATTTCTGGATACCTAGAACGATGGAACCAATTTAAAAAAAATCTGAATGGTGTCCCATTAATGGTAAACATTTCCTTTTCCGTTCAAAATAGAATAAGTTTTGTACGTTACGTTGAATTAATTTTTCAACAAGTAAGCAACTTATTTGCTGTGAATGTGATTTTTGTTTGACTGTTCTCATTATGAAGCAGTAGTAAAGATACAAAATATAGATGGCGGTTTTTTTTATAACTTGATGTTCACTCTTTAGACTTGTCTATGGTTTCAATTCTGTCAGTGTCAATGTCATTCAATTTTGACAGCTGTTTTTTGTAAAAATTGTTTCATGTTTGTAAATAAATTATTTTTGTTTAGTTTTAGGGAAAATTAAAACAAGTTTGAGTAGTTAATTTATTAAAATACATGTTTAAGTCATGATGGATGAAGATGATTATTGGAACACAAGTGAAACCAAAGCGCACGCGTTTAGTTTTGATGATGACGTTGTGAGTTGTAAAATTACATACATTTATTTTGGTTAAAAAGATTGCAAACTTAGGCGTTTATAATAATATACCTCTGTTTCATTTTCATTTAATTTCTCTGCAGCTCACCCCACAAGAAATCCTGGCTATCGGTCAGAAGCCTTCTACAGGGACAAAAGAAGAAAGTATTTTCAGCAGTTCAGCCATCAGCAACACCAAGTCACTGCTACCTTTGAATAGTTTAGTATCACCTAAAGTTTTGGATTTGAGTAAGTACCTATGACTTTATTTCAATAATCATTATTCTTTGTTAATTATTGTCAGTGAAACTGTATTTTTTCAGTTACATACTATATTTGCTGGTTATTTGTTCTACGGTCAACTTTGGTCCAAAACAAAGAAGGATTCAATTCCCATCCTCAAAGCAATGTTCACAGAGCAATGTTAGATAGTGTTACTGACACCTATTTAGTTGATTTTATGATAGTTTTCCAAATTTCAATACCTTTTTTATTAAGTCAAGATTGCCCTTTATGGCTAAAGTTAATTAACTTGAATTGGCTATTATAATTTCACTGACATTATAATAGTAGGTAAAACCTAAAAATCACTTTCAGTGTTAAACTTTTAATTAAATTTTATCACATTACATATTTTCATTTCAGTTCTATTGGCACAATCAGGAAAATACCCATCGAATGAGTCAAAATCAGACATTGAACAGACCGTAGCAGTTACGTTGAAAAGACTAGTGTTGGGACGATCTTGTTCACTTCACGTTCACCGGAGCTTGAAGAGTAAGACAGAACTGTTAGATGGAGCTATTTCTATTGGCGATGGAAATGCTATATTGACGGTCAGTGTTTTTTTTACATACATAGGTAGTATAGAATACTTTTCCCAACTCTCTTATGACTACTATAACTCGTGTGTCTACAGTTTGACCTCCAATAAAATGGCAATGCCAGATTTTGTATGGAAGGTGGCGTCTTTTTTTTTTCGCGCGGCCATTGACTAAACTTTGTTTTTTGATTACAAAATCTATATATATAAAAGAAAGTCGTGTTAGTTACTTCGCTTATAACTCAAGAACGGCTGAACCAATTTAGCTGAAAATTGTCCGGGAGGTAGTTTAGAGCCAGGAGAAGGACATAGGATACTTTTTATCCCGTTATTTATTGCCATTAAGGCGGAACAAAGTTCGCCGGGTCAGCTAGTAGAGTAATAAACCAAACTTACTATGACATGTGTACCTCTAAACTCAGTCTGAACTGAGTTACGAGCGTTAGAAATTTGATGATTTACATACTAGATTTCCTTTTTGCGCGCAAGTTTAGTAAGAAATTGCAACAAAATATTCCGCTATTTTTTTATTGCGCTGATTCTACGCCACACTGATGTCTGGAGCCTTTAATGGATGGTATTGTTTGTTTACACATACAATGTCACTATTTTGTTGCAATTTCATACAAAACTTGAGCGCAAAAAGCAAATCTAGTATGTAAAATCATCAAACTTCTAACGCTCGTAACTCAGTTCAGACTGACTTTAGAGGTATACATGTTTTAGTAAGTTTGGTTTATTACACTATTTTGTAATCAAAAAACTAGGTTTGGTCGATGGCCGCCCCAAAAAAAAGACGCCAATTTCCGGCATTGTCTTTTCAACCGAAAAATACAGGCTGTCCCCGAGGAATTTTAAAGTTTATATTACACTAGCTGACCCGGCGAACTTCGTACCGCCTTAGCGTAGAGATTTTCTTAATATTTTTTTCCGTAAGAACCATCCTTGGACTTCCACAAACATTTTAAAAAAAGAATTATCGAAATCGGTTCAGCCGTTCACACGTGATGCCATGACAACGCGAAACGGGTTTCATTTTTATATATATAAGATTATATTTAATCCCGGTTTCCACCAACCAATCATATTTCAATATTTCCACTTCACGTCTCCGCTCGCGCTCTGCGCTGCCCTACCGCCGCTGATAAATTCTATAGAAAAATTTGATGGTCCGACTCTTCTCTGCTCTGCTCCGTTCCTTTCTGCTCCGCTCTGCTTTGGCGGAAACCAGGCCTAAGACATTTTATGCTCCAAATAAAAATTAAATAAATGAATTCCAGGTGGTACTATTTCTTATACAAACCCTAAATAAGAAGATAGTGTTTGAACTGCTGTCGTGCCGCCCCATAGCGTTGAACCATTACATCAGCTTTCTGCACACCGAGGGAAAAATCACAGAGCTCTCAGATCTACTAACGTAAGTTTATTCTGTTTTTTTTTATCCACAATGAGGAAGCTCTTGGCCTGTATCTCACCTTTAATATGATAAACTGTCACATTCAATTAAACTACCACTGCCATGCCTCAGGCACTGACTTAGTTAAGCGCCAGATGTATAACTTATTATCTATTAATTAATGTGAAAAATCCTTAACTTTATTTCAGAATGCTTGGGAGAAGCCCTGAGGCAGCTGTAAGTACAGTAAAAAGTATTTTTTCATAAATATAACATTTACTACCTTTTGCCCGCGACTTCGCCCGCGTAAAATTCTGTTTGTCACATATCATTAGCGTTTATCATATATTATTTTGGTGTATAAACAATAATACTGTAGTTTCATCAAAATAATTATATTCAGTACTTTTACCGTGAAAGAGTAACGCCCGTATTCACAAACATGACTATGAGGTCTCACAGTGCGCGTGGACTCACAGAGTGACACACGAACCAATCAACCACCAACCTCTCTTCAACGCTGTGCGTACGATTTGCTGCTCCACTTAATCAAGCATCGTTTGTGAATACGAGTGTAACAAACATACATCTTTACAAACTTTCGCATTATAATATTGTAGTCCGGTCGCCGAGCACACTCACTGCTGCCGCCCGTCGCACAGTCGCGACAGATAAGGATGGGTTGCTTGGGGTCATTGGACGAAATTCTACATGCTCGGCGACCGGACTTTAGAAGGAAATATTATATCTTTTTTTTTCCAGATGTACCAATTCCACCACTGCATCAAGAGCCAAGGCAACAATGTAGACAGTTTGTTACGCAAGCTAGCCAACTTGCTTGCAAATCATTTGAACCAACCTGGGGCGGATTCCCACCAGGCTAAGATGGTGGCTGATTATGTTAAATTATTGGGTAAGTTATGTGTTTTTTTACATTTACAGACACTGTGAAACACACTGGGAAACTGCGCAACATATTTTCGTCCAAAATACCTCAGTGCATGAAGACTAAAGTCTACAACCAATGTGTGTTAACCAGTGATTGCTATGGTTCAGAAAAGTGGCCTCTCACTATAGGCCTTATACAGAAGCTCAAAGTTGCACAGCGTGCTATGGAGAGGGCTATGCTCGGAGTTTCTTTGCGAGATCGAATCAGAAATGAGGAGATCCGTAAACGAACTAAAGTCTCTCACATAGCCCGACAGATTAGCAAGCTGAAGTCCGATAGTACGCAGAACTGACTCCAGTTAGCTATGTGGAGGCCGCATAACGGAAAGCGCTGCGTAGGACGTCTACCCACAAGGTGGACCGACGACCTCATATAGGTAGCAGGAAAGCGCTGGATGCAGGCCGCTACCAACCGACCTTTGTGGAAATCATTGGGGTAGGCTAATGTTCAGCAGTGGACGTCCTGGGGCTGAAATGATGATGATTTGATTAAAACAACACAACCGCCTCTGTGGTCTAGTGGTAAGACCATCTGCTTCAGACGCAGAGGTCCCTGGTTCGAATCCCAGTGGGGACAGATTTTCGGTTCGGTTTGGTTGGTGGTAGTGCTTGGTCTAAGTCCGCCTGGCTAGCTACCACCATTTTACCTAAGTCTGTCGCCATAACAACAATGTTAACAGCATTGTTGTGTTCCGACAGTTAGAGGTAAGATAGCCAGTTTCTCCGTGGTTGAGGATTCCGGGTGAAGCTCGCTTCCACCTTCGGCCTGATCATCACTTACCATCAGGTGAGATACAGGCCAAGAGCTTCCTCGTTGTAAATTAAAAAAAAAATATTCCAGAATGGCAGAAGTTCGCCAACAAGCAGGAATTGTTCAACAAGTCAGCGCTGCACTGCTTGGCGTTTTGCTGCGCACAGCACTGGAGCGATACCGCTGGCAATATGATGTCTCCCATGACGGTGTGTCAACGGCAACAGGTGACAACTTGTTATATTTATTTTAAACTTGGATTAAAACAAAAAGGGTAAAGGACGAAGCACACTTATCAATCCGGAAACGGAACGCAACCGTATCAACTCGAGGCGGTCAGTATTCTTTGAATAAAACTCGGTATTTACGCACACTTATCCGCACCGTATTGTTAACCTCGCGGCGAAAGGCGATACGGTGATCCCTTTCCGGGTTGATAAGTGTGCTATAGTTCCAAAATAGTGAACTGTCCTATCGATGACATTGACAGTGGGGCGCCACCGTCAATACCGGATCGCTGGTTCAGATTTTGCCATGTTGGAAACCATATAGTTGAACGATGGTAGCGCCCCCCTGTCATTGAGTTTGGTGGGACAGTTCAGCGTGGGTCATCTATATGACATATAAATGTATCGAAAACGTCTCGCCTGTAAGATGTCATAGCCATAGGACATAGATTGTGACAAGCCACAATCGGTCTGACCTACACAATACAGGCGCGCAAAGCCTTCTTGTATTATTAAAAAGTGTACGAACAATTTCAGAACTAAAAAAAAAGTCTACGGCATCACTTTTCATTACTAACAATGACTAAAAAATTACTAACAATGACATTCGCCATATTGACAGGGCCTTATTTTGTCCACAACGAAGGACTAGCCGTATTGCATGTTATAATCTAAGATTATAATTCATACTATATTCATGTAATATAATATTTATTTTAAACCTTTTTAAATTTCCAGATTCCTCCTCTCCAATACGACTGGGTGGTGCTAAATGTTCACGCGAAATCGAATAAATGGGATATAGTGGAAACATTATTCACGAAAAAGGTGAATTAAACTGGTTTTAATTAATGAATTCGAGAATTTCACTGCATGCTGGCTGTAAAAAAAAAAGCTTACAAAAAGGTGCTGATGATTCTTAAGCGAGGTTTAGACTAGCAATAAAACTTGCAGAAGTTGACTTCCGCAAGCTGTTACCGCTGTGTAAATCTTGCAGAAATTGGCTTGCCACAACTATTTACACAGCGGTAAACAATAAGAGTGATGATACTAGTCCCATTTTTCTGAAAATTAATTGTATTCATACTCGACTAAAATCATTTAAAATTAGGGTTCCTTGTCAGGACTACGGAACCCTAATAAGGCAAAAACAAAAATTTGATAAACAATACTACGCCAAATAAAAATTTGCGAAACGTTGTTTACGATGTGATAATTTGGGAAACGTTTTTTGGCTAAACATTAGAAATCCATTTAATATTGATATTTAATTTAATGTTGATTCCACAGGACTGGCTAGGCCGCACCACGGTATCGTCTCACATACCTATAGAGACGCTACTCGCTAGACTGAGCGACTTGCAAGCGAGTAAACAGCTGCTAACGACTTGTGTGAACAAGATAGCATCTTCTGAAGACAGGCTGCGACTGGCGCAGATGTATAAGGTGCGTATGTAGTGTATACAGGGTGTTTTATTATCCTATGGGACTGGCTAGCTCGCTCTAGCAATATTACTGGTTAGATTGAGTGAGCTACAAGCGAGTAAACAGCTGCTAGCGACTTGTGTGAACAAGATCGCATCTTATGAAGACAGGATGCGACTGGCCCAGATGTATAAGGTGCGTATGTAGTGTATACAGGGTGTTTTGATATCCCATAGGACTAGACTGAGCGAGTTGCAAGCGAGTAAAGAGCTGCTAGTGACTTGTGTGAACAAGATCGCATCCTCCGAAGACAGGCTGCGACTGGCGCAGATGTATAAGGTGCGTGTGTAGTGTATACAGGGTGTTTTGATATACCATGGGACTGGCTAGCTCGTATTTGTAATATTACTGGTTAGATTGAGCGAGCTGCAAGCGAGTAAACATCTGCTAGCGACTTGTGTGAACAAGATCGCATCCTCCGAAGACAGGCTGCGACTGGCGCAGATGTATAAGGTGCGTATGTAGTGTATACAGGGTGTTTTGATATCCTATGGGACTGGATAGCTAGCACTAGCAATATTACTGGCTAGATTGAGCGACTTGCAAGCGAGTAAACAGCTGCTAGCGACTTGTGTGAACAAGATCGCATCCTCCGAAGACAGGCTGCGACTGGCCCAGATGTATAAGGTGCGTATGTAATGTATACAGGATGTTTTATTATCCCAAGGGACTGGCTAGCTAGCACTAGCAATATTACTGGTTAGATTGAGTGAGCTACAAGCGAGTAAACAGCTGCTAGCGACTTGTGTGAACAAGATCGCATCTTATGAAGACAGGATGCGACTGGCCCAGATGTATAAGGTGCGTATGTAGTGTATACAGGGTGTTTTTATTATCCTATGGGACTGGCTAGCTCGCTCTAGCATTATTACTGGCTATATTGAGCGAGCTGCAAGCGAGTAAACAGCTGCTAACGACTTGTGTGAATAAGATCGCATCCTCCGAAGACAGGTTATGACTAGCCCAGATGTATAAGGTGCGTATGTAGTGTATACAGGGTGTTTTGATATCCCATGGGACTGGCTAGCTCGCTCTAGCAATATTACTGGCTAGACTAAGCGAGCTGCAAGCGAGTAAACAGCTGCTAACGACTTGTGTGAATAAGATCGCATCCTCCGAAGACAGGCTGCGACTGGCGCAGATGTATAAGGTGCGTATGTAGTGTATACAGGGTGTTTTATTATCCTATGGGACTGGCTAGCTAGCACTAGCAATATTACTAGCTAGCACTAGCAATATTACTGGCTATATTGAGCGAGCTGCAAGCGAGTAAACAGCTCCTAGCGACTTGTGTGAACAAGATTGCATCCTCCGAAGACAGGCTGCGACTGGCCCAGATGTATAAGGTGCGTATGTAGTGTATACAGGGTGTTTTGATATCCAATGGGACTAGCTAGCTAGCAGTAGCAATATTACTGGCTAGATTGAGCGACTAGTAAGCGACTAGCCCAGATGTATAAGGTGCGTATGTAGTGTATACAGGGGGTAGCGCATTTTCTTACATAACTTTTCAATTCCTATCATTGGAGGTCCGAAAATATTTCTCATACAATTTGATACCATAATGATCATTCTTCATAAAAAATTTAAAACCTACATATTTAAAAACATAATCATTGATATTCATAATATCACTAATCATACACTTAGTTTTTACTAATATTTGTTTTCATATATTTTTCTATACTAATGATCGAAACTCATAATCATTCGAATAAATAACTATAATATTCATAAATGTGATGTATCCTAATATTTGTTTTCATAAATTTATTACTCATAAGTGTATTATCCATATTATTGAAAATCATGATGTTTATGTCGCAGTCAGATTGTATAATCCGCCGTTTTACATTACAGCTAGGCATTTTGCATTACAGCTCTGTTTTGTAATACGGCGGATTAACGTTTAGCCGGATTGAATACGGCTGAATGAAAATCCGCCGGAATGTATTCGGCGCCAAACGTTCTTCAATACGGCTAGCCGTAATGTAAAACAGCGTGTCATTACCCGCCGTTTTGACAGTTTTTAGTTCCTATTTTCAATACCGTGCCGCTGCCGGACAAAGTGACCTATGGATTCTGGTGTTCGGCGGAATCCTACACAATATTATTAGTGTAAAAATATGAAATCATGGCTGTGGCCGGTGAAGATAATTTTATCTTAAAGAAAAATAACCCAGAAAAAATGACTAAAACTTTATTGTTTTGAGTTACCTGTTCCCTTTGATCATTTTTAATGTCTAAAAAAGACTAAAGCCAAATATCTAAATAATTCTTAAAATGTTTAGAAAAGTCTAATTGTTTTGATTTACTTTTTTTTAGATGGCTATCCCTTGTGATTTATAAATAAGTAAAAAAAAACTGAAGCCAAATATATTATTTAGTATACAGTAACGAAGATAATAATTCTTAAAATCTGTCTTATTAAAATTTATTTTCATTAAGCATTGTTTTATTTTGTAAGTATGGTCACCCTACAATCTATAGTAGTACGATGCGGCTAAACGTGCGCCGCCGTTTTGGAGAACGTATCGCAATGACAATCCGCCTAAACGTTGAACCGCCGTATTACAAAACAGAGCTGTAATGTAAAATGCCTAGTGGTAATGTAAAACGGCGGATTATACAATCCGACTGCGACATATATTCGTATTAAACCGTATTTTAACATTAAATTAATTTGAAATGGTCCAAACAGGCAATATTTTGTGCCACAAAACTAACGTGACAGAAACGAATCGCTGCAAAACCGACTCCACGTAGTCTTGTCTGCCCTACCCCTAGAGTGTAATTTAAAAGCCGGAGGCGCGGAGGGAGGGCAGCCCTCGCCCGCTGTAACGAGGCTCGGGCGCCCGGGTGAGCTGGAGCGGCTGAGGCTGGTCGCCGAGGCGCCGAAGGCGCCGATGGCGATCCAAAAAGCCGAAGCTGCGGAAGCAAGCGTGGGTGCCTGAGCCTCGTTACGCAAGGGCGGAAGGGCTGCACATCCCGCAGCGCCGGAGACGAGGAGATACCAATGCATGCTGCATGCTTGCTTTCATGCTGCATGCTCTGCATGCTTATCTACTCTATTAAATTATATATGATTTTTTAAATATTAAATTACTTGACCGTCACTGGAAGCTTTATATTGAGATAGCATTTCCGTTTCCTGTCGAATTTCTATGAATTTCCGTAGTCAATATCCGGTCCAGTGGCGACACCTGGTGGATGGGCGCTCACTTTTTGTTATCTTTGGTTGAGCGCGCCATAATTTCCTCATTGGCGTTTTGATTCCCGTCGAAGTAACTTGTGCTTAAAACAACGATCAGTCCCCGCAGTCGTTGTGAAAATTATATCGAAAAAGTGATAAAAATTATAAAAGTGCACAAACAGCAACACTTACAAGTAAGTGAAAAATCTTTATTTCTACATTTTTAACGGTTTTTGCCGTTCGTGAAATTAATGAGGTTTGATCTATTTATACAGTACCTACATACTGTGAAATAAACGATCAACTTTTAATTACATGCTTCCGTAGTTTTGATAATTTTTATTTTTGTGGGTAGATGTAAACAGATGTGAAAAATTTTAAGCAAATATAGTAATACAAAATTATTTGTGTAGAGTGATGGATCATACTACTGTGCCGTCTACCGAGCCACAAGCTGTGGCTGGGCCAAGTGGCGAAGCTCGTAAGCGGGTTCGGAGCAGCCGCAACCGGAGCAGCTCGTCAAGCAGCGACAGCAGTGACAGCTCCTCCAGCTCGTCCTCTGTGGGCAGCAAACGCAAGCGGCATCGCCGGCACAAGAAAAGTAAGCGCACTCGGCATTCCAGCCGCACAATTGATAAATTAGTTCAGGAAATAAGTGAACTTCGTAAACATGTTTTTGATTCAAATGTCGATGCCCGCTGTCATAATGATCAGCACGACAATATATCAATTATTTCTGGAGTTAGTAATGAACTTTATGAACAAAATTATACTGAAAATCAGACTCCTATTCAGGATATTCCAAATTTAGATTTTACTTTTGAGATCGAAACCAAGTTAAAGGAGCCTTCAGTTCCAAAGACATCTGATGATTTTTTAAAAATGTTAAACGATGTTCAACGCTTTGGTAGTCCTAATTGGTCAGATGTAAGGTATGCTGACACTCAGAAATTATATAATCATAGCCCGGGCTTTGTAGACCTGGAGGCGAATGATGAGGTAAAATCATATGATAATTTACGATATCTTGCTAATGCTGACAAGTCCTATGCAGCAATCACATATTGCATTCTAAAACAAAAACAATCATTACAGGAGGGCATTCGTAACCTTCTTTTTTGGGCTAAAAATACTGAAGTTAATTGTAACAACTTGAGTGATAAAGTAGAAGAACTATTCCTTAAGGGCGAATTTCACAAAACTTCATCAGATCTTTTGCAATTGGTCTGTGGACACAGAGCTGAAAGTATCGAGATGCGTCGTGAAAGCATTACAAAACAAGTTCGCGATCCGTTTGTAAAAGCTTCATTAAATAGAATACCGCCATCACAAACCCACATATTTGATTGTGAGCCTTTCACGGCGTGTCTCGATAAAGCTGGTGGGGTCCGTAAAGTTTTTTGGCCACCTAAAGCTGAAGGGTCTGTACAATCAAGATCTTATCAAAATAACAGTAGCCGCCCCTCGCGGGGGCAAGGCACACGAAGTTCAACAGTTCCATCGCGTGGAACTCAATGCGTGTATCATGATATGCCTTCTCACGGCTTACCCTCAAACATGAACACTTGCAATAACCCACCCTCGCGGGGTGGCTATCAACATTTAAGTACCTGTAGAGGTCACACATCTAATGTACCATGTGAACACCACAATGTTACTAACAAAAATACGTTTCACAACCGAGGCTCGCGGCCCTATCGTGGAAATTATCGAGGAGGACGCTCGAATAATGCCACATCAAGAGGAAATCAAAAGAAATATAAACAATGACTTGAACCAATTCCGAGCAGGTCAGTTAGTCAAATACCAGTTACATTGGATAAAAATGGGAGCACCAAAAATAATTCTGAAATTAATTCAAGGGTATCGCATACCATTCCTTCAAAAGCCTCCGCTTGTTTATCCAAGTATGACGAAAAGTCCATTCGAAACACCTGTGTCAGTAGAAATGTCGGACATCATAAACAAAATGAAAACACAGGGCATTTTAAAAGTAGTGCATCGCACACCAAGTTTTGTTTCTCCTCTCTTCCTTGTACCGAAACCAGACGGATCTGCTCGGCCAATTTTCAATCTCAAAGCTCTAAATCAATATGTGATAACCGAACCATTCCGGTTGATAAACATGTACCGCATTCCAAATCTTCTTCAGCCAAGGGACTGGATGTGCAAAGTCGATTTATCTCAAGCTTACTTCCATCTGAAAATAGCCAACGCTCACAGGCGGTTCCTACGCATCATATACAACCAAGAATTGTTAGAAATGACGTGTCTCCCATTCGGCTTAAGCACAGCTCCCAAAACCTTTTCCATTTTGACCAATTGGATTGCCCAAGTACTAAGAGACCGCTGGAATATAAGAATTGTAGTTTATTTAGACGACTTCCTAATAGTACATCAAAATGCAAATACATTACGCACTCATGTAAAACTTGTGGTACAAACATTACAAAATCTGGGATGGCAAGTAAACTTCGAGAAATCTGTACTTTGTCCCCAACAGAATATAACTTATCTAGGAATTGTGTGGCAAACCTGGGACAATCTAAAATCCTTGCCAGAGACAAAGACCACCAACATAATCAAAAAATCGAATCAGATTCTCTCTCAAAGAGAGGTGTCTCTAAAAGAACTACAAAGCCTAATAGGATTACTAAATTTTGCAAGCTTTGTAATTCCAAGGGGTCGACTCCACTATCGTCAACTTCTAATGTTCATGAACTCATTACCAGATCTTCCATCGATCAAGTATCAACTACCAGAAAGTACCTTACACGAGTTAACCTGGTGGATTCAGAATTGTCACTCGTCAACACCGCTGCATTACCCTCCACCAACGACGTTTTTGGCCACAGATGCATCGAATCTAGCTTGGGGAGCACAGATAAACAATGTGGCCCTGTCAGGAAATTGGTCTCAAGAGGAACTAATACTCCATTCCAATCAAAAAGAGATGCTGGCCATATTATATGCACTTCAGAGTCAAATTCATTCACTAAGTTGCACGTCGATCCTCATTCAATGCGACAACAGAACAGCAGTAGCCCATCTACGGAGGGAAGGCGGGACGAAATCAGTGGCACTATTAGAAATAACGTACAAAATTTTGAATTTATTAGACAAACACCAAGTACACTTCGATATACATCATATCCCAGGCAAATACAACAGCCATGCAGACCATCTGTCACGTCACCGACAACCACCGGAGTGGCATCTTCTCCCAGGTTGCTTGGAAAGAGTGTTTTCCAAATGGGGGATTCCAATGATAGACCTGTTCGCGTCAGCCACGGCTCATGTAGTCCACAATTATGTGTCCCGAGACCTGAAAGACCCTCAAGCCCTGTTTCACGACGCCTTCAGCAATCTATGGCACTACCCTCTGGCTTGGGTATTTCCACCTCCATTCCTGATCCCCAAAGTCCTGATGCACTTGAATCAGTCGACAGGAATATTTCTAATGGTAGTTCCACGGTGGGAGAAGGTTTTCTGGCGCGCAGACCTGAAAACCAGAGCACTTGCACCACCACTAACCCTGAAACACCTGCAGAAATATCTAGTGGACACGACAACGGGTCTCCCACCACCACAAGTCGAGAACATCGTCCTCGAAGTTTGGAAATGTGGGGGTGGAGCGAGGCCACAAAAACATGGAACAACGACCAATTACTATTACTAAGAAATTCGTGGCGTAAATCTACTTTAAAAACCTACGAAGTGGCTTGGAAACGTTGGCTTAATTGGTCCAAAAACAAAAAGATTGACCCGAAAAATCCCACAGGTTCTCAGTTGGCGCAATTTTTGTCAGATTTATATTTGGTTTATAATTTATCTTATAATACTATTCTTTTGCACAAATCTGTAGTTTCCACATTATGTGATGCTGAAAAGTCGAGTCATTTAAGCTCACATGTTCTTGTGAAACATATATTAAAGTCTATTGCTCTTGTCAAACCAAAATGTGCTAAACCACCAATTTGGAATGTCGATGAATTAATCAATTTCTTAAAAATCTATAATTTGAATGAAAATAATACTTTCCAAATATCGCGTCATGCCGCAATATTACTACTGCTTTGCTCAGGTCGTCGCATACACGATTTGACTTTACTTCAAATTGATCCTAACCATTGCATCAGATCTGACGAAAGTATCACCTTCTGGCCTCTATTCGGATCGAAAACCGACTGTACCAATTATAGACAATCAGGTTGGAAACTTCTTTCTAATAAAAATAATCGTAGGCTTGATCCAGTATTTTGGTTAAATAAGACTATAACATTGTTACACGAAAGACGTGATACTGCCAAAACATTCAATCTTTTTGTTACACTGAGAGGTCAGGCTAAACCCGCTTCGCGCACAATAATAGCAGGCTGGGTAAAATCCCTGTTCAAAGAAGCCGAAATTACAGCTACACCAGGAAGTGTCCGGTCTGCTGTAGCTTCTAAAAGCTGGTTAGAGAATCACCCACTTGACGAAATTTTGACCCGTGGAAATTGGCGATCAGCTAATACCTTTAAACAGTTTTATAAACGTGAGGTAATTAAAAATATTAATACAAAAAATATTACTCGATTATTTGATCCTATCGATTAGAGTATTTAATATAAATGTACTTATTATACGTAATAATAAGGTAATAAAACAAATTAGTGGAGTAAAAAGGTTTATTTATTTAAACACTATAATTGTATTGTATCAAAATATTATGACATTGATTAAAAAATGTTTTCTTTTTTAAAAAACGCTGTGTTATTATTTTACCCTAATCATAGTCACATTGGCGTAGGTACACAATTTATTTATTGTTGTAATAAATCAGTGGCGATCACCAGGCGATAACAAACAGGTCTCAATATAAAGCTTCCAGTGACGGTCAAGTAATTTAATAGCAGCGTTTTACCTGAAATAAAACGCATATTAAAATACTTACCTCACTGGAAGCTTTCACTTTAATTCCTGCCTGGTGAAATTGAGCCAATGAGGAAATTATGGCGCGCTCAACCAAAGATAACAAAAAGTGAGCGCCCATCCACCAGGTGTCGCCACTGGACCGGATATTGACTACGGAAATTCATAGAAATTCGACAGGAAACGGAAATGCTATCTCAATATAAAGCTTCCAGTGAGGTAAGTATTTTAATATGCGTTTTATTTCAGGTAAAACGCTGCTATTTTAAAACGGTAAATAATATTTACCCTCCCGACGTTTCGGCTCGGTTGCACGAGTCATGGTCGCGGGCAGACTGAAGAGATGCGGCGTCGTCTGCTCCGGCGCGATGAGTTTTCTTCACCCACCCGCATTTGCACAATATTTTCGTCAGTGGTACAGTCAGTCCGACAAACCACACTAACAGTGTCCGGGTTTCTCTGAGACGGCCTAGAACGCGACGGGTCGCGTCGGGAGGGTAAATATTATTTACCGTTAAAATAGATATTGTTGCAATAAATCCCGTGAAGTGATAATTTTAAAGTAATGTTTTGTCTTGGAAATTATTTGTTAACCAAACAATTTTTAGATAATAAATAAAACCAAAACACACTTTCAAAGCGGTATATTTTGTAGAAACAACTAAAAAAACTAAAACTAATTAACGACGTTAATGGCGCCACCGTCGTCGCCACAACAACAACCGTCGCCGACGTCTACTCCACACAATCGTAGCACAAACGCGCATAGTGTGACGCATAGCAGGCATCTTATGATCTGGCCGCACGCACCGCAGTCACCACAGTCGCATGTGAGACACATTTTGGTTCAAATCACTTTACACTTGAACTTTTGACTTGTCGAACCTTATAAGATCCGTTGGATAACCTTGTACGATCCGATGCAACCTTGTACGATCCGATGCAACCTTGTACGATCCGATGCAACCTTATACGGATCGTCCTGTTCCGTATTTACGGTCTTTTTTCAAAATAAATAGGCAAATATTATTCTCCACAACGATTTAGGCTAACTGACTCATATCAGCTTAACGTGAACATATATTCATTTGATATGTATATGGTTTTATCAGCAGTTGATAAGGATAACAATGATAATAGGTATCATCGAGATTTCTTATGAAACAGTTATCCAGTTTACCATGAAGCATTTTTCCTGTGTTTTACTGTTTCATAGAATCTTCATTAATGAAAATGGTATTTAGATTGTTGTCAGCGAAGATTAAGTTATTGATCTTTTGGCTACATCTACACTAATGTTATAAAGAGAAAAGATTTGTTTGTTTGTATTGAATAAGCTCCGGAGATTTGAAAAAATCTGTAACCATTAGAATCCTACATTATTTCCAATGAACATAGGCTCGCCGGGACAGCTATTTGTTAAGAGTTAATGTGAGATGTGTTGGCATAGAGATAGTTTGAGTCCCGGGAAAGGACATAGGATAGTTTTTATCACGGTTTTTGAAACAGGAACGCGCGTGATAAAGTTTTTCTGTGACAGACAAAATTCCACGCGGGCGAAGCCGCGGGCGGAAAGCTAGTGATAATAATTATGATGATCGCGAAGCGAAATATTTTTGTAGAGAGTCAGTTCAATTTCAGTTGTCAGACAATCATTAGGTTTATCGTAATCTACTTATTTCTACATGTGTGGTAGTTTTCGGAAAAGCTTTAATTTAGTTATCTGACGAAGGCCAGTTAGTTCCTAGTAAACGCACTGATAAACTTTGGATTTATAACATTGTTTGAATAAGATATACACTCCTATCTGGGGGCACGGCAGTGCCCCCACCAAGTCGAGCAAAAAAGCGGCACGGCCGTACCATCCTTTTCTCGAAGCAATTCAGGCCATTTTCGACCGCCTGTAACTTCGTTGTGGATAAAACTAGAAGGCTGAATTTTCATTAGCTATGCAGGCATTGTAAAGACACGGTATATTTAAAATTTCATTCAATTTGAACCAGTAGTTTAAGAATTATAACGGGTCAAAGTTACTTAATTTTGTCACTCACTGACTGACTCACTGACTCACTGACTCACTCACTGACTCACCGATCATCAAAACTCTAAGGCACTTCTAGCAGACCTAGAAGCTTCAAATTTGGAATATAAGTAGTGTTTGGTGTATGAATCAAGGAAAAACTAAAATATTTGGGGGCACGGTAGTGCAACCGCCAAGTCGAGTAAAATTTTTCAATTTCGGTCCAGTTTTCTAGATACATAACTGCTGTCTACAAAATACAAAAAGAAATGAGATCCCATCAAAAACAATACTTGTCAAAAAAACCAAGTCTCGCAACTCAGTTGTTCTACGGTAAAAAGTTGTGAGATCCATGTAATACCAAGTCCAGGCCAGGAAATCTTTAACGTTTTACATAAATATATTGACTTGGCCATCGCATGAAAACACGTGTAAATTAAATTATTTAGTGCGATGGCCAAGTCAATATATTTATGTAAAACGTTAAAGATTTCCTGGCCTGGACTTGGTATTACATGGATCTCACAACTTTTTACCGTAGAACAACTGAGTTGCGAGACTTGGTTTTTTTGACAAGTATTGTTTTTGATGGTTTGTATATCCAAAATCATTTGAATTTAGCACTCCTCTATTAATAAGAGTTGTTAATACAGTCACCGTCAATTAGTTCGTGGCACCCAAATTGGCCAAAAAGTGGACAACACAATCTTAATAAGATTTATTCCACTTTTTGGGTGTCACGTATTTGACGCTGACTGTACCTAGTGACTTTATTGTATAATCTTAGATAAAGTTCTAAATTCACATTAAAATAAAGATAACGGAAACATGTAAATATGTCTTCTTGAAAAGATAACTAACTGAAGATAAGTAATGATATATTATTATCTATATTCTTCGAAATTCAATATTGCTGCAAAAAGTTTACCTTCACTTAACATTACTTACTAGAAACATTATTCACAATATTGTCTTCTTCCTACAAATAACAAAATACTGCCAAAACAACTATAAGATAAAAGTGAATAAAACAACATTTAAAATTCCAAAAATATATTACAAGAACCTTAATAATAAAATACACTTATCATAAAATACATTTCGTCAGTCATCGCCACAAGCACAGCAGCCGTCGTCCACTTCGACCCCGCACATCCTGAGAAGAAACACGCACAGTGTGACACACAGCAGGCACCGTATGATCTTGCCACACGTACCACAGTCGCCGCAGTTGCATGTGATACACATTTTGACAGTAGTGTACTTTTTATCGACCTCTTTACGATTTGTGTACTTTTTGAGCGACCTCTTTACGGTTTGTGTTCTTTTTGGACGACCTTTTTACGATTTGTGTACTTTTTGAACGACCTTTTTACGATTAGTGTACTTTTTTGAAGATAAATTGAAGAAGTTTTTCAGTTACTGATCTGTTTTTCAACGTTCTTGTTCGTTACTTGGAAGAAAATAAACTTTTCACTGCACTTTTGAATATATTGTTTATATTCACTGAAATCGATCCCCAAGATGAATATTTGGCTTGTTTTAAGAGTTTTTGAGAGAACAACTAGCAAGATAACTTCACTGTATCGTAATAGTTAGTAAACTGACTGAGTCACACAGGTTTCACCTTGTGACGCGGTCTACTTAAGCGGAAAACACACAATAAAATTGTCGCGGTGATAAACTTTTCCATGTTTGGAAGTGAGCTCTATTTTCATTCAATTAGAGTCCATTAACAATGAAGTGATACGTACGAGTACTGTGTATATTTTTTATCGTTATCTTGAAACGTATTGAAATGTCTTTACTTGGATATTTAACAGGTGAATGCAGAAAACACTATCTATTACCTAACGTATAGGTTTGCCTGTTTAATATTAATTCAAGACGCGAAAGTACATTACTTACCTACTTTAGTGACAATAGGGGTTTTTGAGTACAAAATAAAAATGTTAAAACTGCGTAGCTCGCATCAATTTATAAACGTACTTAAACTTTGGAAAAGAGACAGACGCCCGTATTCACAAACATTACTATGAGATCTCACAGCGTGCTTGGACGCACAGGGTCACACACGAACCAATCACAGAGCTCTAACGCTGTGCGTTCGATTTGCTGCTTCATTAAAGCAAGTATCGTTTGTGAATACGGGCATGAAAATGTGAATAGGGTTTCCCTTCAATCAGCTCTATCACTGCTTCAAAACATTACCCTCCCTCTGTCGTAGTCGGGTAAAAAGAAGGCTCAAAATTTGTCCCATTTAGGGAGTCTTCCAGTAGAGGCATTACGTTCATAACTTTTCCAAAGATTTAACACAGTTTATTAAATAAATTGGCCGTGACTCACAGTTACCTCCATTGTAATAAAATGCTTAATGAATGATTGACGAATTCGCTACACTTCAACTATGTATTGTTTCTACTAATTTATACTTTGAAACGATGTATGTGTCAGTAATAATCTGGTAGGTGCCAGTAGCACTTAACGCGTTACTTAACAATTTAAAATATGTGTGTCATGTTTGGGAGCTCTTACAATAAAAAATATAGACTTCGCTTGTGACTTTACCTGCATAGATTTCGGTCAGTCACAAAAAGTATTAACGCGCTCTAAAAGCATAAGAAATAGTTTGATGTAGCTAACTTGAGAAATTATTGCTCCCTGCACAAATTTTCATCACCTTCATGTTTTCTTTTTACTACAAAATGTTGCTCATGTCCTTTTCCAAGGTTCAATTGAGTCTAATTTGTGGTCTAATTCATAATTAAATGATTTGGACGCGGTCTTTCTATTAGAATGATTTATATTATGTCTCGATTCGGGTTAAGGCGTAAAAATGTAACACCGAAAGGCAGAAAACAAGAGTAACTTTTTTCAGTTACAATTAATACTAGCACATACTCGTACATTTCTTGAGAAAAACAAGTCATTGTTTCAAATTCTACAGACGCACATTTTCTAACAGATACAGTATAGTGCTATGTGTAGAACACAACCGCGAAAACATTCCAATCGAGATCCGTTTCAAACCTTCCAGAATTCCGCCAAAATTGGCCTTCCCTCACCTAATACTTGTAAGCTTGGATAAATTGGGCCAAAAGAAAATGGAGGACAAACGCTCGTTTCGGCTACAAAGCCCTGTAAAATAACTAGGCGCAACACAATACCGGTTTTTATTAGAAATGTCCAATTTCTTTTATTAGTTCAACATCAATATTAGGGTCTATTTTTATTTGTAGCTTAGTCTTAGAAGTAACGGACAGATTTTATAGAATTTGACGAAAAACTGAGTGGTCTTATAAACAACGTAATGAGATAGAATTGAGTTTGTTCCGGCGTTTCTTCTCAGCACTTTCCATAATAAGTAATATGTTTGTCTCGAAGCGCTGGTAGGGCCCAAAAGATAAGGAGACATGTAAAGTGCCCCATAAGGGCTACCTTTTCTTTTTTTATTATTTTCTATAATAATATTTTGACGTTCATAAGTGCCAATTGTGGTCTAAACTGAATCGGTAATACTTTTGATTTTGATTTTTTTGATTTTGAACTATGTACAACATTTCTTACTATATTAATATAAAATCTAACTCTATAATCTAGTGTTAATTGCTTGAAATTAATTCGATATCTAAACGGTAGTATTCCACTTCTTCTCACTGCAACTTTTGTGCCAGTTGACAATGTTACTTCTTTTGCTATTTATTTACTTTCATTATAGACGTCGCGAAGTTATGTACTACGGACTTCAGATACATAAATGGCCTCGTGTTAGTCCGAGTTTCTTCTGCCACTTCTTTTCAGCGCCAGCATAATAGGTAATGTTGTCTCGAAGTGGTGGTAGGGAAAGCTATATTTGAGACGTATAAAACTGCCCAGAAGCGCCTTCTTCTTATAAATATTATGATTTTGAAATCCGAACAATTTACTAACATAATTTTAGTCAGATCCTGTATGACAGCTCCGTAAATTGACCACCGCAAGGGCAGACTTCTCTCAATCCTTAACGTAGCCATCTCTCTCTGTGCCATCACTTCTGCAGCACGGACTACAATCGCAATCACACTCTATACCGCAAAGATGGAAGAGGTACGCGCATAGAGTGAAACAGAAGATGCATCGGAGACTCCCGAAGAAGTTGCAGCAACACATAGGGTTATTAGGACACTATTTTCGGAAATTCTTCATATTATGCTTAGCTGTAATAGTAGAAGCCAGTGAACTCGTCATAGCTGAGTCGTCTAAAGTGATAATCCTTGGGAAGTAGAAGTCTCAAATCATAGATTTTCATCAATAGAGCACCGTATTCTTCTGCAGGTCATTGTTCTTTAGTAACAAAAACTGGTGGTGTAAACAGGTAATTTAATTGGTGGCCAGCCCAGATTGTCAGCATTGGATTCCCTGATGAAAAACAGTTTTGGCTTAATTATAGCTCCTTTAACTTTCAATCTGCAAACTTTTTGAAAATCTCTACATTAAGGGTCTATTGCTGAATCTTGAAAGGCACGTGTGTAGATTTTCACGTTATTTAATCCTCATAAAATTTACTAAGTAAACTTATCATAAGTATGAATAATTTTCAGAGTTTATGAGTAAGCAATTTTGTAAACAATCATTCATTGTGACTTGACAATGCTTGACAATGACAAACTAAAACTGTCAATATTTGTCTATGCGCGTGATGAGGCGAAGACGTAGATCCTTTAAGATTTACAATAGCAATAAATCTTCACATATCTTGCATCAACTTACCATCATCATTCCGCCTTAGACGGCCGTTTGGTGTAGTGGTTTGCACCGGACTACTAAGCCAGAAGTCGCGGGCGAGATTTGAACAGCGCTTCATCAAATGTTATCAAGAGCTAGCGCATCCAATATTAAAAATAAAAATAGACATCTTTAATTCTAACTCGAGTGAATTAAAAAAAAACCATAGCTGAAAACATGCCATTTTATTAGTACAATAAAATCTTCTAAACATGGTTTAAACTTCATAACAGGAACTGGCATCACAAAGCTTCTTTCTCGAGGTTGTTCAGCATCTTACACATCAAGTCTTTGATCTGGGTGGACAGGTGGCCGACGGTACTGCACAACTTCTGGATGGAGCACAGTAGCATTCTCTGGTTTTCTTTACTGCTGTTATTGTTGATGATCCTGGAGTCGGAGCATGCTGCTTTGCAGTCACCGCCTTTTAGCGTCACTGTTTCGGCATCTGCGAAAGAAGTAATAAAAAGAAAGTAGTTTAGGATGGGAGTTGGCTACATGGTGAAGTTTGTTAGCGTCCTAGGTATAAGCGTTAATTGAGACAGTTGTATGTAATGTAATGTAAGCTGGAGAAGCTAAATCGTTAGAGTTAGGCCGGCAATACACGGACCGCTTGAAGCAGTCAGTGTCGATAGCTTCAAGCTGCGACTGCACAGTGAACTGCAGAGTTCTGTGGACGCACATACACGAACCGCTCGAGCAGTTGCAACTGATTCGGGCAGTTGACAGCACGGTGAATTTTCATCGTGCGGTCAAGCAGTCGCCAGCCATACAATGACTGCTCGAGCTGTCGACAGCTCTCACGCAGTTACCTCCGCCCTCTTTCTTCATTCCAAGGCGCGCGCGCTTGTGATTTGTTGAGCAGTTAATACCAACTGCTCGAGCAGTTATCACTGGCAGCTTCAAGCTGTTGACTCTTGACTGCAAGCAGAGGCGGGGCAAGACCTAAATTTGATGTGGGCAAGACAGATTTCGCGAGGCCTTGTTCTGTGGCGACCTGAAGACGGATTTTATGAAATAATAAAAAAAAGGGTCAAAGGTCTATACATTGACAGTTTCTGATTTCTTGATTCAGTGATTATTTTTAAAGGAATATTGCGCCAAAGAATAATGTTCGTCACTTAAAACCGTGTTGTTGCTTAATTTTGTGTCTGATTATGGCTGAATTTGTTTGGAAAAAAATATATTTTTATTTTTAACTACATTGTTTAGCTATCAAGAATTTATATTTAATAGTCAATGTTCGTATTGTGATATTGTCATCTCCACCTTGTATACATTTTTTCAAAATTTTTGATGCGCGAGGCCCCTTGTACCGCGAGGCCGTAGGCGGTGGCCCACGTCGCCTACGCCTTACGCCGCCTCTGACTGCAAGAGCGGTCCGTGTATGTTGATCACTGACTAACTGCTCGAGCTGTCCGTGTATTGCCGGCCTTATGTATGCTAATAAAATAATGCGTTAACTTACCGTAAAGACCACCATTAGTATCCTCATGCCCTTGAGTGCCGGTGTTGATCGTTTCCCCACTATTCATCATGTCCCCTGGCTGCCCGGACAGACACGAGCATGATCGTGATCTTACTAGAGGAGACGCTGCCCTGTTTGGAGATGCAGCTCTATTTTCCGGATAGAACTCCCTTTGCGAAGGAGTTCTGGACGTCCTGGTTGGAGTAGACGCCATGTGAGGCGACTGCGACCTGATAGATCTTGGTGACGCCCGTTGAGGAGCAATCGGTTGGGACATACATTGTGGGATCCCAGTCGCAGACGCGCAGGGATTAAGCTCCTCAGCCATGGGCTGGTACGCAGACGGTGGTGGAGTGTGTGGCTGCTGTGACGAAACTGGAGGGATCCTGGTCATTTCAGGAGACGAAGCTGGAGGCGTGTGATGAGATGTCTGCGAAGCTGAGCAGCCAGGACCACATGGCATCGGACCCATTTGGGTAGCCTGAGGAGAGACGTTTTGGTACGTTGCATTTGTGTCGGGACTGTTTAAAGGACACTCGTTTATTTGACACGTGGGAAGCTTGTTTGCGGGGCATTCCTGGTTGGTGCACGTATACGGGGGGTCTGTAAGAAACTCCTTGGGCTCTTGCGTGTTGCAGTTCGGGCAAGGGCATGTTATTGTTATGATACCAGCTTTGATGTCCTGGATCTTCCCAGGGGTGTAGTTCAAGCATGTGAAGTGGGCCCATTTCTTGCAGGCCCCTTTGCATTGTATTCCGGTTTTACGTGTTACTGATTCAAGGCAGATTTTGCAAGGGTTCTTCACTCTTGAGCACTTTTTCATTTTAGACATTTTAGATGATGTTTTATGTGGTGTTTTGGGGGACCATGGTGAGGATGGGATGCTTTGGTTTCTTCTGCATTGGGTTTTTGCGTAAATCTATTTCATAAACATGCCATGATATGACTACTGTGAATGCCAAAGTGACTGACGTATTGTGACAATATAACGAATTTTGACAAGTGATTCACCAAGAAGAAATCTATAAAAATAGGAGTTATGTTTACTCTATGGTAATATTAATAAAACAAAATCCTAACAAGTAAAAAAGTGGTTGTTCCCTTTATTTACACATCACAGTAAAAAGAAAATTAAATAATCTCATAAATCCTTTACAATCTAAACCTAACTTAGCATTTTCTGGACTTCAATAAGGCTCTTCCCTTTGGTTTCTGGTATGCAGATTAGCGTGAAGAGGAACGCTATGCCGCAAGATGCGCTGAAGATGGCAAAAGCTACATGGGTGCCTGTTCCAGCTATGATGTAGGCGAACGCAGTGACTGTGCTGAACCCTGCGAGCCAGCAGACGCAAACGGCTATAGATGATCCTACTCCACGAACGTTGAGTTGGAACATCTCTCCTACTAACGCGCCTGGAAGCACTAGGAACCCTGGAAAAGGAAATTGCTCAATTTATATCGTCTCTTTAAGCCTCTGGTGAATTAGAGTTAGAGGTGGTCATGCTCCTGCAGTGGAAACTTAAGTGACCTGATGATGATGAAGAATAAGGATATAAGACATTATTAGTTAGTGATTAAAAATAAAAGGAGCTAACTGTCTTTTTAAATCGGTGTGATAGATTAGTGTAATGCGTATTGATTAAACGCGCATGTGGCTATATTTTTGCCTCAAAATTGTCTCTAATAAGGGAGCTCTATGTCCAGTAGTGACATAAGAAGCTTACCAAAACTATTTGATATGCAGTATATGATAAAAACTGGTAACGGCAGCCATCTGATGTCGAGGGCCACTGGGTTTTCGATGTTATACAGGTATATGTAGACTGACAGGATCATCTGAAAAACAATAATTATTAACGATTTCAATTCAATTAAGTCTTATGTATAATTTCCATCCTACTGTTTCGTTTTCTAATATTGAAGCCCTAAAGAGAAACCTAATAGTTTTTCGAACAATTTGCCTACGAGTACTGGTATGTATTTCAATTACATAAAGCATATTTTGTCAATGAGGGCTTATCGTATTCTAAAATAGCGTAACTAGATTTCTATGCTTTAAAATACTATGGTTTTAGGGTTCGGACAAACCAACGCGATCACACCGCGATCAGCCGGCGTGCAGCGATGGCGACCAGACCTAAATGCATTGACCGCCATCGCTGCACGCCGGTTGATCGCGTTGGTTTGGCCGAACCTTTATAAGAATAAGAATAAGAATAAGAATAAATTTATTACTTAATAAAACTTAGCCTAGATACATTTGAATTCACTTACTTAAATTAAGGTTAGTGTGCGAAAGTAAAATTATTNACCAGTAGTTCCTGAGATTAGCGCGTAAACTACTACAATTTTTAAACAGTCATAACTTTTTACTGACAGCTTATTTTTTTTTCGTCCCATACTGAAAGTTAATCTCTATTCAAAGGACTATAAGCCAATATAGGTCTCATTGGTGGTGGACATTTGGACCACTTTTGGTCATTGTCCTTTGAAGTATTTTCATCGATAAAATTGTTTATAGATTACGCCATTAAAGTTTGATCACTACAAGCCCGGACACACTGTATATCCTCGAACCCTGCTATAGATAGCTACACAGGATTTCCAGTGGTGTGAAAGAAAGGTGGAAATAGTCCAACACTTAGGGAGTACACTGAAGATATACTCTGATCCTGACTGATCACAGTTTTACTTTCCCCTGGGACAAACTTGTCTTTCACTCGCTGAGTTTTTACGAAGGTAGTGCTGTAGATCCTAACTATCCAAGATTTCCAGTGGTGAGAACAGTTCTAGCTAATCTCATATAGTGTCCAACTCTTAGAGAGCTTTAGACCAAAGATATACCCTGACTGGTCTTAGTTTAACTTTCCCCTGAACTCTGCCTTCTCTGGTTAAGTTATTTTAGATTGAGGACTTCTGGTGGGAATAGTCTTGACTAATTTTATTCTAATTTCCCATCCAGCTAAACCCAGACGTGAACGCGTTCCAACGCAAGTTCGTCAATGAAGTCCGCCGCTGTGACGAGATGGAGCGCAAGCTGCGTTACCTGGAAAAGGAGATCCGCCGGGACGGGATTCCCATGCTGGAGATCCCGGGGGAATGTCCCGAGGCGCCGCAGCCGAGGGAGATGATTGACCTGGAGGTAAGGCTTTTGCTGCATCTTTCCCAACACAGACGGGAACGCGTCCCAACGCAAGTTCGTTTATGAAGTCTGCCGCTGCGATGGGATGGAATGCAAGCTGTGCTACCTGGAGAAGTAGATCCCGGGGGAGTGCCCCGAGGCGCCGCAGCCGAGGGAGATTATCGATCTGGAGGTAAGGCTTTTGCTACATCTTTCCCAACCCAGACGGGAACGCGTCCCAACGCAAGTTCGTCTATGAAGTCTGCCGCTGCGATGAGATGGAATGCAAGCTGTGCTACCTGGAGAAGTAGATCCCGGGGGAGTGTCCCGAGGCGCCGCAGCCGAGGGAGATGATCGATCTGGAGGTAAGGCTTTTGCTACATCTTTCCCAACACAGACGGGAACGCGCTCCAACGCAAGTTCGTCAATGAGGGCATTTGCGACGAGATGGAACGCAAGCTGCGCTACCTGGAGAAAGAGATCCGCCGGGACGGGATTCCCATGCTGGAGATCCCGGGGGAGTGTCCCGAGGCGCCGCAGCCGAGGGAGATGATCGATCTGGAGGTAAGGCTTTTGCTACATCTATCCCAACACAGACGGGAACGCGTTCCAATGCAAGTTCGTCAATGAGGGCATTTGCGACAAGATGGAACGCAAGCTGCGCTACCTGGAGAAGGAGATCCGCCGGGATGGCATCCCCATGGTCTAGCACGGGATCGCCAGATCCCGGGGGAGTGTCCCGAAGCGCCACAACCCAGGGACATGATCTATAATATAATAATATTAATAAATCTTTGGACAATTCAATCTATCTGGAGGTGAGAGGGTTTTGCTGCATCTTTCGACATGTTTTAGGAATGCTTGACCATTTTTTTAAATCCTTTGTGAAACCTTACAACAAGGTGTATTTCTGATATATTGGTACAAATAAACGAATTTGATTGATTGATTGATTGATTGATTGATTGATTGATTGGTGTCTGCAAACCACCTCAATTGGCAAACTGTGGGCAATTTTGGATGGACGATTTTGATGTCAAGTGTCCGCTTCCTTCAGTTTGGTAAAGGCAGTAACTCCAAGTATAGCTAAACATTTACGTTTGGAGTAAATTCCGTCCGACATAAGACTTCTCTGTCGAAGCGGCTAGTTGACCTAGAAGTAGGTTATTGATCCTGTTGCGCAACCATTACTCTTGAGCAGACTTAGCTAAATAAAACTTAAGAGTAGATGAACTTTTCGCATTGTCTGTTGTAATAAGTCCTTGACGTTCAATGATGACGCATCATCCTGTTTCTGGGGAACTCCAGAACAGCTTTTATTTTAGGCATCAATTACTTAAGGAAAAAATTTTGCCCTTTTAACCTTACAGAGTGAACTCGAATCATTGTCCGAAACTTTTTTCTTTTTCTTGTAAACAGTATGATAATCTGATTTCACTCACAATGCAGAACATGAAGGGAACTCAATATTTTTACTTTCCTTTTACAATTTTTTACGATAGTTTTTCCTAATGAAACAAAATTTTTCCTAGGCCACTTTTGAGAAGCTGGAAAATGAGCTTCGCGAAGTGAACCAAAACGCAGAAGCCCTCAAGAGGAATTACCTCGAGCTGACCGAGCTTAAGCACATCCTCAGGAAAACGCAAGTGTTCTTCGACGAGGTAAGCCAACATAACCACATACAACCATCTTACAATACGAGGAAAATTCTACAAATGCCGATTACTTTTTGTTATTCAAACGAGTTGGAGCGATAGCCGATGATGACGGCACAAATCACATGATTAACATTAAAACAGTGTAGCATGTTCAGATGATCCATTATGCCGCATATTGTTACGCGTTTTAATTGTCGTTGCCTAGTGCTACAAACGATATCGGCTGATAAGATAACCAGGCGAATGGTGACCTCGTGATGTAGCGTAAAACTAGTAATTACCGACGGTCATATACTTACGTAGCAATGTTTGATGAGCTACGTAAAATATCATAATTTTGGCATCTCCTTGACTGTGATGTATTGAACTGTAAATTACACAGTCTAGGCAATTACACTCTAGACTTCCGATGTAAACAAGCGGCATCTTCATCAACGTAATTTGTGAAATCAGTTGTTTACTTGGATGATATAATAAATATTAAGTGAATGGCAAAAGCACAATGTTTTTGCAAATGTAAAGTCAACATTGCTGTTGTAGAAAAAATAGCTCCACGATCAGACTTTACTTGTAAATTGTTAATTTTATTCATCATTTATTTTAATTTGTTTCCTTATTTTGGTCAGTGTTTCATATGTTGACTGTTTTTGTTTTTAGCTTCTCAATCCGATTCAAAGATAGGGATGCATCAAGGATGTAGGAAGCACACAAATACCTAACAGATATCTATTGTCATTATTTAATTGAATTTTTGCTAAAATATATTCACATCCTTTAAGTATATCACTGTAACAGTCAAATAATTCCTAATGGTCGTGGTTTTTCATCCTATTTTCTTATCCTTATCGAAATCTTGCTAAATAAAAACGTGGGCTTCAAAAAGATTCAATATAGTCGAATATTTTGATTCAGTACCTATTATGTTGTTTAATTGCAATGTCACGAGGCCAATGTCACATTCCAGCTGTTACAATAATGGGATTCTTTTCAAACCGGTCCAGTGTTACGTTATAATAGTTAATTGTCATGCCATTAGTATTTTTACGGTAGTAATTGAGATTTCACGGGCGAGTAGAATGTGACATTGGGCCTGGACGCCACTGACCTTGCCGGCGTGTGTCTAAGATGGCGGACCCGTCGCGCGAGGAGGAGCAGGTCACCCTGCTGGGGGAGGAGGGACTCATGGCGGGCGGGCAAGCGCTCAAGCTGGGGTATGCACCTTCATTCAACGCTCCCAGACCTACTTTTACTTCTACGCTCCCAACTTCCACCACATTCGGCCGGGGGCTCCAAATTCTTACAGCGTGGAAGTAAAAGCGTGTCCTAGAGCTATATTATTTTTGCAGCGCTTGTACTGTGACGCTGATACGGGAGTCTACCGATCACCACTCAGGCAAGCATTGGAGTCGGCCGGTTTATAGTATATCATCAACATAACACCTCTCTTTGACTTCTTGTGTGATGGAATGAGCTTAGAATAGCACCGCAGACACCCTTCGGATACGTTCTGTCGGCTTCGAGATAGTTCTGAGTCCCATGTGGAGAGTGCTAACCAATTGCTGCCTGAGTGAGTTTTAACTAACAGTGTTATCCGGAACATGATTTATTTTTGAAGTCCATTGAAGGTAGCGGAAGGTTTTTCAGGTCGTAACGTGCGTGGTAGACGTTATCAGTATTTATTTTTCCGTTTTCATTCCGTCATGCTTTCTGTATACTTTGTCATATGCATGCATTATGATTTTTATGTTCATGTTATACTTAGTCTAGCCTCACGATATGATCAACATTCGTCCAGCTATCAGAGACGTCACTCGTTATTTGATGTAACTTTCACAATGTATTGAAACACAAATATTACGGAGTAGAAACCGACTAACAATACAGGTTGCTTAATGTTCCGTAGTGTAGCTAGGTTGTAAGAGCACCGAACGCGTAGAACGAGGGTTTGTTTCACAGAGACGCGTTGGCGCTACTTTTCCTACAACAGGCATTGGGGACATGTGCGGTGATTGTTTGTTTGGGGTCCGCTTTCCGTGGGCGTCCGTGGGCAGTTTGTCTGTACATTTTATGTTTGTCCGATAGCACGAGGGTGGTGCCAGTACCACTGAGTCGATGACACGCGCGCTGATATCCGACGACCCGAACAAACATATGGGACACGTCCAACTAGGGTATGTATGCGTGTGTACATACGGCACTAGAGTGACACCGATCCCACGAGTCTGGTCCACGTCCAGATCTACTGTAGCTGGACGCAGTTACCGTTTCTGTGTCCAGGCACAGTGAGGTTAAAATCGATTGCACTCTGTCGTCTCGGGCTGCTCTGCTTTTTATTGAACGTCAAATGTTTGCGAATTATGACTCCCAAAGTATGTCGCACGAGCCGACGTAAGTGCTATCGATCAAGATGTTCACATAGTGTGACAGATTACTATTTGACAACACACACACTACGCTAACATTGACAGAAGCATACGGTGTAGATAATGCTTAGAGCCTAATGCTTGCCTCAGCTCTATGTGAACATCTCTAAGTAAATACGACTTACGCACTTAATGCAACCCCTTGATAAACTCAATACAGTAATCTAACAAGTTTGAAATCCCTAAAATGTTGTAACATCTTTATGTCACTTATTGATATCACATATTTGATTGAGAAATTAATAAAGATCAAATGAAAATTGCATGAAGATTAACTGTCATCATCGAGTCCCATAACGATAAATAAGATTTTGAACCCCAGTTTTTAAGAAATGTGCCCCTACTAAAGAAAATTTTTAAATTCCTTATCTTATTTATAATTTAATTAACTTGTAAATTTAGCTAAACTGCTTGATTTATTCCTAGTTTACGGGATAAGCAAGAATCCTTGGAATTCCTGCCTTGGTTAGTAGTGTACATTGTATTATTTCTGTAGTTGGTTCGGTAGCTGTGGCGGGTACTGGTATATGTTGTATGTGGATGATTGGCGTGTGGATGAGCACCCGGGCCTCTAAGGCAGAGCTGAAACAAGTCAACAACATTAACTTCTTTCACTTCTGTCCAGAGCACATGGGAATTTATATTATTATCAAAATAACACACTTTCACTTGGCTTACTAACACTTCACTTCCGTACTGCAATTATTATGTTAATCTATTAAACAAATGTGCGTGTGAGGTAACTTGGACTTCAAGAATAGATAATGGACTTAGGTGCAAACATTGTAAATGCTGAAATATTCGGTCTTTTTCGTGCTCACACTTTTTCCTTTCCTCTCTTTCAGTTTTTAAATAGTACGAAGTATAAATATAATTGTGGACCTATTCATGACCCCTGTGATAGTCCTTAACCTGTAGTATACCAGAAAAAGTTGTGAGTTACGAATATACGTCGCAACTTTCTTTAGAAAGTTTCTAACAGCGTCTTGGTACGAGTGTCTTAGATATTAATATAATTTTAATTTTTGTGTATACTTTTCAGTTTACTCGTGTTATTCATTCGTGTAGCATTGGTATTCAAATAACAAATTGTTCGGCGTTTCCAATCGAATGTGTTGAATGAAACTGTTCTATTATAGTCTGACAAAGTATAAAAGTTTCCATTGACCTTGGTTTGGTCAGGTATGGAGTTGATGAATTCGTCGAACGCGTGCTCAACTGTTTTCCAATCCAGTTGGGTACAGTGTCGAACGCATTGGCGAAATCCACGTAGAAAATAGCCACGGTACACGAGTCGCATTTGTGTGTAATCTGTTTATTTTACGCTTAGTTTCCATCACAAATATCACAATGCCTCGAGAGTTGTCTCGGTTCCATGTATGGTTATTAATACGCTATCACACCGTAGCCGGCATTGTGACGCCACGAACAATATCTATACTTGTGAAGACTGCGCCCATTCTATTTTCATTTACGATAACAATGCGGTTACAATTAATTGTAATGCTGTCCTTTTATTATGTCATTTATCGCACTTGGAACACTTCCGTGAGAGTGTGAAGATTACGAGCCCTCGTCTCTATTTAGGTCGTAGCTACGTATAGTGAATCAGATAAAATACTTATCTGTTGGGTGAGCTCGATATAACTCGATTGCGAGTTCAATATGAGTGCCGTCAAAACAATAACAATTGGCTGGATATTGAAATTTGGAATTACGATGAATTGATGAATGATAAATATGATCTCACAGATTCTATCTCGAAAGGTATCTCGAATTCACTTCAGATTTTCTCAGAAATCTGCGTAATGCCCAAGATTACGCCAAGGGTATTTATTGATGATAAACGATAACATTTTGTGTGTCTAAATTCTTTGGATAAGTTATAAATTCGCAAGATAACGTCACTTGTAAAACTTCAGTTAAAAGTAAATTGACTAGTTTAATAAAAGTAGCTAGGATGATAAGGAATGATATTATTATCAGTACAGTAATAAATTGACATGACATTGATGGGTCGACAATGATACCTACTTTAACAAAATGTGGATTATACTGGACTGGCTTGGATATCTAACCGATGACGCTGAGTCACAAATCACATGTCCGCGTCCACTATGCATTGTTCTTATTTCATTTTATTTGCTCGGGACATTGTTATGATTCAGGCAAACTGTACTTATTATGTGTACTTATTTGTTTCTTTTGTTGTTTGCTGCAACTATGTGTTGATAAGAGTTCTATTTTATGTTTAAAATGATACCATGTATAGATTTTTAAAAACAACCCTAAATTGCTGAATGAGTTTATTCAGTAACTTAGAAAAGGATTCTGATGTTTCAAAATCTCAACCGTTCAAAGCCTAGGCCTAAAGACTCTAATTTGTAGAGACTTGTATTTTTGCTTACAAATCAGGCTTATTTCGTGTAGTAACTTTAACTGTTTCATTCAATATGTAAAATGGTGTAACGGGAAGTATTGATGGTCAAATACAGTAGTTCCATTTGGTAAATTATCTTTTTAAAGCCAGTTTTAATGGTGTACAGTTACGTGAATCAAAGTCAAGGTTAGAAGGCTTTAGCGGTCAATGTTTATGTACATTACATATCCAAACACAATATGGATTATACAGGTGACTACTCCATTACATTATCATGTGGTTACACGTGAACGTGTCATCAAGTTGAGTTCTTAATAATTGATTTACAAGGTTTCCACAAGGTGGATCGACGATCTCATAAAGGTGGCAGGAAGGCGCTGGATGCAGGCCGCTACCAACCGGGCGATGTGGAAATCATTGGGGGAGGCCTATGTTCAGCAGTGGACGTCCTGTGACTGAAATAATGACGATACTGATGATTTAAAACCTTTATACTTGTAACTTTTCCCTTGTAACCAAATCAGCTCCTTAAGCAATCATTTCGCGTGCTCATTATCGGTATCGACGACATATTGTCATCAATACTTATCAAACACAGAATTTTTCCATAAAAACTATCTGCTGCTAGTATTTAGTATGTCAGCCGGATTCATGATAAATTACGCTGCTGTATCACGAATGCAGACAGTGACATAATAAATGAAACATCTGTTACTCATCTCGTTTCAGAATTATTTTTAGTTGTTTCCATGATGACATTTTTCAAGGTCTAGGATTCGTTCGCCCCTAATCTTTCGCCCCTTTGCCTAGAAATATGGCGAATAGGTTCATTTGGGGCGAATCTTACGGGTTGAACAGGTTTCAGGCCTTTCCAAATTATTTATTTAGCCTTAGTCAGCCCATCAAGATCACCCAGCTGTTTTGAAAACTTTTTCGAGAATGTGCAAAGTATACATAATTTTTTAATTCACACGTATTGAGCGGGCAATCATCATACATTTCCAGTTAAGCGAGAATGTGTGAGTCACGACATTCGATGGCTTGCAGGTCGGTAGTCGGATAACTGTTATTCTAAAGGCATTCACACTGTTATGTCGTGTGTCGTGATGAGATAAGAATATCCGAATCATATTATTTGTATGACAAGTGTTTACACAGAGAGGATGCGCTTAACGGTTTCTAAGTAAGGAGAAGATACGTTGTAACAGCTGATCATTCCTAGAAAGAATTATGACCGAATTTATGTTAAACTGTGATTTCACAATAAACAGTTTGAATTTCAACAGATAGCTGTTTCTGATTAAGGCACATATTATAGAAGTCTCACATAACTCAGCTATTGTATTTATGGAAAAAATAAAGTATAAGACAGAAAGCTTTAAGTTTTGAGACTCTGTTCTTCTTCTCAGTCGATATCATTCTTGAAAGAGGGTCGTGGTCGTCAGCAGTGTGGATTGTTGTGGCGATACGAATACGATGGCTTGCCATCTTTGAGGCTCTAGTGTTTACATCTATGTACATAGATCATCATTCATCAACATCATCTCAGCCATAGGACGTCCACTGCTGAACATAGGCCTCCCCCAATGCTTTCCATGTTACCCGGTTGGTAGCGGACTGCGTCCAGCGCTTTCCTGCTACCTTTACAATGTCGTCGGTCCACCTTGTGGGTGGACGTCCCACACTGCGTTTTCCGGTACGCGGCCTCCACTCCAGAACCTTGCTGCCCCATCGGCTGTCAGTTCTGCGTGCTATGTACATAGACAGACCGGAAATACCACCAGCATCTAATATTTATTTAATTTAAATAAAATGAGCAGGAATTTAGACAAGTTGACATTATCACTATGCAGTGTCGTTACTGAGTTATTATGTCTATTTTATAGTATCATAAAATCGCAGCGTCCTTATTTTATGTTTCACACGTAACATTCATTGTCTGTCTGTGTAACGTATTGTTTAAATTGTATCTTTATAACTATTTGTAAGAGCTTGTGAGATAATAAATAACATTATGGACATTGGGTTCATTTTTGTGCACCTTTATTGTGATTTCATGTGAACAAATATCGTAAAGTACATAAAAAAGACGGTTCTCAAGGCATATAAAATTCAAATTCTTTGGAAAACAATTTACAGCTGAATGAACACTACTAGTTGGCTTAATTAAATTACTTCCCTAATTGTACTTTTAAATTAACTGGCGATACCAAAGACTTGCCTCCTTGTCCTCATTTTAGAAGGCTTCTAATATATTCTTACACACAAATACACTCTGAAATTACCTGGTCTATTATTATTATTTTCAGCGAATGTATAACACGAGTTCATCCAATGATATGGGTCTAGTTTATAGTTTTAAGAGACGTTGATGTTATTGTTAATTTTAAGATATTTTATCCACTTATGACTGTTTTTATGAGATTAGAATATGTAACCAAATTCTAGCAGATAAATTCCTAGGTAAATAATATAAGTTAAATGGTAGGTTATACTCTACTTATAGTACCTTCAAAATGATCCAAATTATTGGACCTATCTTTAAAAGGTCCAGATATTTTATACTACTTAGGTTCTTACTTACCTTGTAAATAAGGTATTATGCAGAATCAAACGATGTAAATGATAATCAAAAGAGGTACCTGTCATCAAAATACGTTGCCGTGCAAGTTTTGGCTTCCTCGGTGGAAGTAAAAAACATGCCGAATCGCAAGGTTAAATGTGTTCTGCTACGATGACATAGTAAAAAATATGAACACGGTAAGTGCCTATATTTCTACTATGTCCACTTAGATTTTGCGATACTGCGTATTTTTAAAGCATTACACATCCAATTAAAATACAGAAATAGCCTAAAAGAGATTAATTCCTATTAGAGTTGGAATTCAGATCGACCTACTACAAAATGACGACTTCCCATAATGGATCTTTAAATACTTAAGGTACACTAAGAAAATTTGTGAACATTGTCCACTAGATTCTACTGAAGATCTTTAAAATTCGTGCAGTGGTTGTTGAATTTTGTACATGCACGATCCCATGTGTAGTATAGTAAATATTATTTTTTCCTCTATCTTTACTATGATATTAGTTACCGAACCGATGGAGATATATCTATGCATTAGTTTCACGACTTGTTATAACGATGGCTCAAGTTGTAAAATAACTAGGCAATTATCCTCACAAAGCGTGCTCAAACGATTTCCTTTGATTTGTTGGTTTCATACATCAATTTGACATGTGAATTAACTGCAGGCGACTTTACATCAATCAAAGTGAAAAAGGGTGTGCTTTCCGGCCATATATTAATGTAAATCACTCAATTTAAATGTTTACTTTGGCTAGATAAATTCCTATACATCAAACTCTTTAAAACCCTTTGTCTGACTCTTAAGCTTTACATCTTGATCTTTCTTGACGGATACCTATAATGCTCTCCGACACAATTTACACAATTTTTATTGACATGCTTTTTCATAGTGACTGTTATTACATGTCAAGCTATACTAAGAAAGGGCATTTAACGACTTTCAGTGTGTGGGCACAACATCTCCTATGTCATACTTTATGAGACCCCATAATCGTCTTATATGGCTCATGTATTCATCATCACCTACCACAGGTAATGTTGCTAAAAAGCTGAAACCTCATATTTTGGAAAGGACCCAATAAAGAGAAGTTTGGTGTGTTTAATTTGTGTTACCTATATCCCCAATCTAAGAGTGAAATGAATACCCCATATTAAAAAGATTTTGTTTTATGAGAACGGATTTTTCAGGAGTCTGTTAGTTTGCAATTTTATACTTATCTAAAAAAACGTTCACCCTAGACATATTACATCGTATTCAGTTCACGAGACGGCTGGAGCCCGTGTCTGTGCGTTAGAAAAAAGCAGACTTTCCAGCAGACGAATATAAACTCACGTGCGGCGACTTGGGCCCCTGCCAAGGTGACCTTACGTCACCGTGTGGAAACAGCAGTTGGTTATACCTATTACCTAAAGGCGCCATGAAATGCTGCCATAGTACGAGTATTAGTGTTTTTTATTCCTACATCTTTAACTGTAACTGTAACCTTTAAAATGTCAAAGGCCCGATTTCCACCAAAATCGAGAGGAGAGGAGATGTGTTTGAATAACCAATCAGAGTTCGTTATCAGCTCAACTTCGAATCGGAAATCTGATTGGTTATTATTAAATTTCAAATACATCTTCTCTCAGCATTGGTGGAAACCGGGCCTTACTGACGCTCTATGTACTTCAATGTAATGATTTTTTAAGAATTTTCCATTAGATTGAGCTAATGAAATGAGTTTGCCGCAGTGAAAGGCTTGCGAAGGCTAGCGAACAATTTGACTGTCCAGACAAAAGCCAGTGGCATTCATAGTTTTTAACATTTTACAACTATTTGACCTTTCTGACGTAAACAGACCATTTATTTGTAGTCCTATCAGATAGTCTCCTATATTTTATTTGAATTAGACTTCAAGGTTGACAACGCTTACAACACAGTAGATAAATCAAACAGTACGGAAGCTTCATACAAACGCTCGAAATCAGACTCACGCACACAGACGCACGCTTTACACGAGCTCTAAGCGAACCTCGCAGTCCATCCGTCGCGAGTGTCGCGCGCGTTGTGTTTTTAATAATAATTTTATTGCATGCACTATCCGCTATATTTTTAAAAACATGCCACGAGTGTATTGCGTAGTATACGGCTGCTTGAACTCGGCATCTTCAAAACCAGAACTTTCATTTTTTAAACTTCGTAATAATTCTGAATTGTAAAAATGATTAAATATTACTTTTTAAATAAAGTGTTTACATCTGATTTAGTAATAGTTCTTTTTAAATTACGTAATTACGCTTTTTAACAATTTATGTGTTCTATTTGATAAAGTAATTTTCTCCGCGCGCTTTTGTACTAAGTGATGAACTGTATTTAAAATGAGGCAATAGCTATGTGAAAGTAAGTATCCGGTATTTTATTTATGAGAATAGAATATCTTCTACCGGCCTCTAATAGTACTTAATCAATTTATTCGATTATGTATTCGACCATNGATGACGTAATTTATGGACGGCCCCTTAGCTCTTTTACTTGAGTTCCTTTGAACGCGCTGATGAAAACCCTAAAAAAGCGGGCAGCAATTAAGCAAACGGTTTGAAACTAAAAATATTAATCTGGTTGATTCATTTCATGTCAGAAATTTAAAATGCATTTTATAGTTACCGTGTTAGTCGTTAAAAAAAGTTAGGTTATTTTGTTTGTTATCAGAGTCAGATGTTTTTAACGCCAACAAGTTATACAATACATAATATAATCTAAATTATTAATGTCAATGTGTACAATTGTCAAATAATTAAAACGATAATTAAATAATAGTCAAACAACATTAAAACTAAATGAGATGGTGTAACAAAGTTAATCTAGTTAGATATTTTATCCTGATTTACTAAATACGCAGAAATTAACAAGACAAAACGGACTTGTTTTTAAGAACTCGGATCAAATCTAATAATGCTTAATTGAATTTTATTAAAACAAAGCAGCTAGCCACATTTCGGCACGAAATTATTGGTTGACTTATTTCATCATATTGTGAGATGTTCTTCTTTGTTGTAAACGCTTTCCGTGAAATCTTATTAAAATTTTAATTAATGCCTACTATAAATTGCTCGCAATTGTTTTGGATGTACGCGGGCGGAAATATTACGTTTTTTGGCAACCGTTTTAAGCGGCTATTCGTTCTGTTATTTTTGTGTTTTGTTGCTCTCAAAGCTTTATATTATCATGAATGCGAGAGATTTATTAAGCCCGGATAAATTTTTGCACTGAAGTTATTTTACCGCACGTATGAATATGACATAGGTATCGTCAACTGCAATTTGGATTCAGTACGGAGTGATTTTGATTATTAATAAGGCTTAATGAGCAAGCACTTAGTGGGTGATAATGAGCAAGCACTTAGCATTGTATTTAAGTATGTACAAAATTAAAATGAGCAGATGTCGCAGAACCGATGCATAGTGGAGAAATGCATATTGAATGAATACCACATAATGGTCCTGGTACACTTGCGCGAAAGACACCAGAGCGAAAGCCATTTGCGCAAATACACTAGCGCGTAAAGCCATTTGCGCGCATGGACACTTGCGCGAAAAGACATGAGCGGGAATAGACGTTTGCGTGAAAAGACATGAGCGCGAAAGAATTTCCGCAAAGACACTAGCGCGAAAAGTCATTTGCGCGAAGTTTGCGCTCATGGACACTTGCGTAAATGTCATTCGCGCTAGTGTCTACGCGCCAATGTCTTTCGCGCTAGTGTCTTTCGCGCAAGTGTCCCGATACGCCACATAATCATAGCATAGGATGCCACACTACCTACCGACAATTTTAATATTACGAGTACTACCGAATGAATAAAGCGGGATATTAAAATAAGCTTTGTGTTTGGAATGATGTAACTAAAAGATTACATACTTTGTTCACATTTCGTTTGTATGTTATTTGATTTTTTCACTAGCCATGTGGCCTGTTTTCGAAAAATTCGGCATAGCCATCGTTCAGTTAGTCTTAATAATATACAAAGACATGTTTTAATAATGTCGTCTACAAAAAGTCATTATCCCCCATTATGTTCCTTTAAGAGAACTTATTAAATCTCTGCCGTTTCTTTTGTAGCCGCAAGTTCCACAATATGATTGTGTATTTATTGCCTTCGAAGCAAATTGTATTATGCCAACTTTCACAAAAACGCATCATTTGAAAAACTCCACCCGCCTTATTGTTAAAAGTTTTATCTTAACAATGCCTGTACAAAACTTATTTTCGAGATTTTATGTAAGAATTATTTTCTTTTCCCTCGCTAATGTTGTTAGGTACTTTTGTAAGAATTTCTAGACTGTCTGAGACAGTAATACAATCTACATTTTGTGAAAGAAGATATCTTCACCTTTGAAAAAGGTCAGGATTATTGTATCTGTATTTCATGTCAAAGGTATTTTTATTACGTTGTATTATATAACCTAGATATCGTAGATGATCCTCATTGTGTTATAAAAAACTCATGTACCTAACTCATTTTACTTTTGCAAGTAGGCTTTTAAAAAACAATTTTACACGTCCCAGTATTAACCCTGCCACTGCTTCGGGACAATAATTGGGCCAGTGTTGAGAAGAAGCAGCGCAAGAAACTCAATCATTTTTGAATCATTTGTACATTTATGAAAGGTTTTTGATTAACCGTAGTTACAGGTTTTCAGCCATATTTTTTATCTCACGTAACAGCAAACAAAAGAGCTTACCTCGAAGAATCATACTTATTACGCTAAGAAATTTAATAAAAGCAGTCTGTACTTACGTAATTTGTTCGAATATTCGAATATTAAGAATATTTATGAGCTCGTTCTAATTGCATAGACTTAGAGGTTTTGTAGTTAATTAAGTAAAACAATTGTTTATTTCATAGGGCATTATTAATTCGGATAATTTGTCATTTAAGTGCGTATTAAATAAGAAGTGTTCCTTTGAATACGAATTTGAATTAGATGTAAAGTGGCTTTTGAAGTTAGTACTGTCTTCGGGTTGTTATGAAGAGATCGCTTTTTAATGCTGTTCGAACAATTAAAGTACGAGTACCTACTGAAATTGATTGTAGATACAATCAATTACTTAGGTATACTTATCTAAGTATACTTTGTTTCAACCTATAAACCGTTTTTCTTTGATCTTCATCAAGCTACAACTGCTACAGGTATAATGTACCTAAAATCTTCCTCTTGAATCACTTTATATATTAAAAAAAAACTGCATCAAAATCCGTTGCGTATTTTTAAAGATCTAAGCATACTCGTTCATAGGCACAGACAGGAAATCGAATTTGTTTTATAAGAATAAATTTATTACTTAATAAAACTTAGCCTAGATACATTTGAATTCACTTACTTAAATTAAGGTTAGTGTGCGAAGGTAAAATTATTAATACCTAAACTAAGCAAAATTGTTTGCCTGTGTCTTAGGTATTTTATTAAAAGTAGGTTAGTGCATACTAAACATTATCACAATAACAGTGTGTAACTAAATATAAATACATTTCTATTCTTAACTACTAAGCATGATTTTTACCTTGATCTAAATTAAGTTACAATCTGTAGTAGGTTTTCTGTTTCGTCATAGGTTTTATTTTTTTAGCCAATCTTGTATGATTTTTTTTTTTTTGCATGCGACTTTATTCATAGGGTAAATACATAGAAAATATTATGACTATGCTTAATATTACTAATGTACAAGGAACACGAGTGAGGGTCACATACTCGTGATTCATACTCATACGAAGAATCTAATTCGTTATATAAATCAAGAGTTACTTTACCCATCCTTGTCCTGCCTATAATGGCCTTTGTGGGGCTCTAGGCGCCCNCTAGGCGCATATTCTTTTTATAGTGCATACTTATATATTTATAGTGCATACTCGTACCTACTTACTGTAGATAGAGTAAAGTCCTGTCACTCATGCCTTGATTAACGGGAGACAGTGCTCTCGGCTGAGTATTCGGTGTGTATGAACATTACGCCGAGTGCTCGGCCGAGCGCTCGAGTATGTGACTCGCTCACCCAACTGTCTCGACCGAGTAAACATTTTACTGTCTCGCCCGTTTACTCGGTACGTGTGATCAAGGCTTTAATCTGTACACTCTTCAGTGATGCCAACTAGTGGTCGCATACGGTAGCTCTTATTAACACATTCCCATAAAAATTATCTCTATAAAAATTGCTTTTTTCTTGAATCACTTACCAAGGCCAGCCCGCATACAAACGTAGAGGTAAGCAGCAGCGGTCGTCTTCCAAACCTCTCTACGAACAACGGCGTTATGCACCCTGACATCACGTTGACTGCTCCCACGATGATCGTGGCTATGTACGGAGTGATTGATGACCCTGGAACAGTTTCAAATAGGTTCTTTAGTTATTGGTTTCAACCAGAAAAAGTCCACTGCTGGAAAAATGCCACTAAGGATACCCACAACGACTAGTTCTATGGGTAGCGTGACCGTATCCAGGGGCTGCCCGCAAGTTTCAGCAGATCGTTGATCCACCTAGTGGGAGGGAAACCTGTCTACACTAGTTACCAACATCCTAAGTCTGTCGCCATAAAAATAATGTTAACACCATTATTGTGTTCAGGCAGATTGAGGTAAGATAGCCATCAGTTTCTCAGTGGTTGAGGATTCCGGGTGAAGCTAGCTTTGGCCTGACCATTAAGTGAGATGTAGGCCTCTGAGCTTATTCGTTGTGAATAAAAAAAACGATACCTATCTCGAATAGGTACTTTGTTGCATAGTCTGGTTTGGCTGATATTTCACTACTGCATGCTTTACAAAAGATACTTAGCAGGCAGGTGGCAGGTAGCTAATAGCTCATAAGATAGGTTAAGGGGACCTATGATATATTGATGTTTGTTGTCCGTGGTGCATATATTTTCATGAAGGTTACTAAACCTTTGTATATTACCTGTCATCCGCTTTGCAATAGAGGGAAGTCGAACCTTAACTTCGAACTCCTCATAAAATATTCTTCTGATTAATTTTGTTGCGGGTCCAATGACAGTTTAACTTTCCCCCGGGACAAACTTGACTTTTAATGGTTGGGTTTTTATTAGTGGTCAAGCTTTAGATCCTGGCTACACAGGAGTTGCAGCGGTGAGAACGAGAGGTGGGAATAGTCCAAAAAAAAATTGATACTTAGGTTATTAAAAATACTGTAGGTACCTGCAATTTCGAAGATCAATGTAGTGTAAGTCAACATAGCGCTGACACCAGCCGTCTGCTGCAAAAGGTACAGAAAAGACGTTAAGATAAGCGCCTTTCTGTTGCACTTCACTTGGAGCAGCGTCTTCCATGGGTTCGACTTTCTGTTCTCTTCTAATTCCATTTTCATTTCTGATATTTTCTCCGCATCTTCTTTCCTGTTTAGAGCCAGAAATGTTGATCTGGCATCATCTTCCCTGTCTGAAACGCAAATGAAAATGTGAGCTTTTCCAGCTAAAGCCCGGTCTGTGAGCACGTAGAATTTTGTCCAATGAACCCAAGCTAGCCATCCTTATCGCTCGCGCGTAATTATATTGCTGTCGCGACTGTGCGACGGGCGCCCGCAGTGAGTGTGCGAGCGCGACAGCAACATAGTTACGCGCGAGCGATAAGGATGGGTAATTGGGTAGCTTGAGGTCATTGGACAAAATTCTACGTGCTTATGGACCAGACTATACTTCATTCGCATGGATTTTATTGATATAGGTAGATCGTTTCATCCACGAAGACGTCCCACCAATTTTTGGTCGACGTAAACGCGGGGCGCGGGGAGTTTGATCCAAGCAATCTGAGCGTCATTATTGTAGTGTGCGTGTGCACTCATGGATAATTTAGCGTATACCGATAACACTCAAACATTAGCGGAAGAATGGTGGGGCGCGTCTTCGTGGATGAAACGATCTACATACCTATAAACAAATTGAACTAAACATAAGTTACAATTACCTAGTAACGGATAACGGACAAGTTACGTAAGTAGTTGTAAAGAAACCAACAGTTTTCATTGATTAACCAATTTTATCCAGGCTTGATTGGATTGTTGGGTCATAATGGGTGCGCCATAGCATTGCGATTTGTCGTTGAGTAGGCTATTAAAAGATTATTGTGCGATTATGATAAGATAGTTGGCAATATACTAAGTATTAACGGTCGGAATAACTTTTTATATTACCGATATCAGAAAGAATTAACTAAGAGATTTATAAGAATGAATTAAATATTCTAAATCGAATGATTTAGGTAAATCACTGTACCGATAGTCAAAATAATAATAATAACAAATGCTTTGTCATAATCTGGCCAGACTTTATTTAGCTCTTTGTATGACCTGTAGTATGACTTACAAAAATCGATTTTTTGTGGCAACCCTCTAAATATTGCTAAGACTTCTTTCTGGCAGTAAGAATTAATGGGTAACTACTCGTAGGTATTATTAATATTGCCAGAGTGTTCAGATTTATTGTGACACTGTCAGTAAGTATAAATCGTTTCATCCACGAAGACGCGCCTCACCAATTTTTGGTCAAGGGAAGCGCGGGGAGTTTGATCCGAGCAATCCGAGCGTCATTATTGTAGTGTGCGCGTGCACTCATGGATGATTTAGCGTGAACCGATAATACCACAGTATATATTTATGAGCTAAAGCAGTACGGAAACTAGGCCCTTTTCGGCGAGTTAAATACCTACACTTCAATTGAGTGTGAGGGTTGTCGCGCGGAGTGCGTCCCTTTATCTGAAGTTTTTAGAGTGACTAGACATTCAGCTCATTGGCTATAACGATACCGTTTTTTAACGTTTTAGATTTTTCTCCATTAACAGTACTTAGTTTAAAAAAAAATGTGTAAGGTAATAAAAAAAACGTTCAACAATTCAACATAATACGATGTCTTTATTTTTTGTTACTTAGGTATAAGAAGTAACATATAAACTAGCAAATCAAAATCGAATCAAATTACTTATCAAATAGAACAGATTTGTTAAGAAGCGTAATTACGTAATTAATTAAGCATTTTATTTTAAAAGTAATATCAAACTATTTTCACCTTTCATTAAACGCAATACACTCGTGGCATGTTTTTAAAAATACAGCGGACAGCGCATGCAATACAATTATTATCTATATTATACTTAATAAAAGAAAGTCGTGTTAGTTACACCACTTATAACTCAAGAACGGCTGAACCGATTTAGCTGAAAATTGTCAGGGAGGTAGTTTAGAGCCAGGAGAAGGACATAGGATACTTTGTATCCCGTTCGAAATTTAAAAAAAGTCTGCTTATTTATTGCCATTAAGGCGGAACAAAGTTCGCCGGGTCAGCTAGTTAAATTAAAAACACAACGCGCGCGACTTGCGCGCGACACCCGTGACACCCGCGACGGATGGACTGCGAGGTTCGCTTAGAGCTCGTGTAAAGCGTGCGTCTGTGTGCGTGAGTCTGATTTCGAGCGTTTGTATGAAGCTTCCGTACTGTTTGATTTATCTACTGTGATAATACTAAAACATTAGCGGAAGAATGGTGGGGCGCGTCTTCGTGGATGAAACGATCTATAGCTACATTGATGCAAAGAACATAAGACAACCATGAAACTTCATCATCAACAGCCCTTTACAGTCCACTGCTGGACTATGAGCCTCCTCCAGTAAAGTGGAGGGTTTTGCCAATCCCCACGCTTTGCAGGCGGATTGGAGATCGCAGTTTATAAGATTGATGTTTTTCAGAGAGCGCTGCTGCCCGTTCTCTGGTTGATGTGTGGTCCCTAAGTCGCCTCTTACGACACCCGCGGGAAGAGTAGGGGTTGGTGACAAATGTATTGTACTCTGCCGTCACCACACGGCGTGATAATATGGAATACATTTAAAGGCGTGCCATGAAACTTACCCTTTATAATATGGAATATAGGTGTCTCTGGCATAAAAAATATACCGCATATAAAAACAGCTCCCACGATCATTCCTATGTAGTTGACCATCTCGTAAGAGACATAGGTGCCCACAGAGTAGACTAATAAGAAACCCAGGCTGTTGAATATCCCTGTGCATCCTAGCAGCATGCCCCGGACTTCTGTTGCCCTGGAAATGGAGAATTAATGAGTGTTTAATTGCTGTATTTCCCGAACTCCATAGTCCGGCCCTTTTCAAGGCAATTTGATTAGGCACTTATTACAGGGCAGATATGTACCATCTTAGACTGTATCTCACATAACACGAGGTGCGATTGCGGTCAAATACCTGCCATATTATGTTACGCATAAAAAAAACTAAGAAATATCAGGGAATTTCAGTGTTTTACATTCACAACGGGGAAGCTCTTGGCCTGCATCTCATTTGATGAAGTGATGATCAGAGTGAAGGTGGAAGCGATCTTCACCAGAAATCTTCAATAACAGAGGAGAACTTTCTTGCCTGCCTCCAACTGCCGTAACATTGTTGCTATTACAATTTTAAGATGGTAGTAGCTAGGTGGATTTAAATCAAGCCCTAACCAACCGAAACTAGCAGAAATTTTCATCACTGGGATTCGAACCCGGGATCTCTGGGTCCGAAGCAGGTGGTCTTACCACTAGACCAGTAAATTATTAAATTTTAAAGTATTTTATCTTATTGGATTCGTTCTGCGGTCTGCGGTCAGGTCAAATGCTCGCGCCCGCACTGTCAGATCATTACAAAATGTATAGAGACCGACAATGTTGTTCATACATGATGCGGGCTGCGTTCATTTTGACCAGACCGAAACCGCAAAACGTATCCAGTGTGAAAAATCCTTAAATCATCACTTACGCGATCTCCCCAATATACACCAAGTTGATTCCGAACACCACACTGATGCCAGCGCCCAATATGAATCTAAAGGCGATCACAGCCCCTGGATTCTTGATCAGCGCCAGTAAGAGGAACGATACCACCCCTGTCGCCGCTCCCATGATGAGGCACGGCTTCCGACCCACCACATTGGACAGAGGGCCTGATACAACTGTGCCTGGAATAATAAAAACAATTGTCAGTGTATTAAACCTACTTTTCAGGAAGGAATTCCATTGATTTTCAAATATTTAACAAAATGATATAATGGAGTCATCACGAAAAATCTGTCACTTTGTATAAAAGTTTTCATTCACAAACGATGCTTGCTTAAATGAAGCAGGAAATCGAACGCACAGCGTTGAATGGAGCTTTGTGATTGGTTCGTGTGTCACCCTGTGCGTCCATGCGCACTTTGAGACCTCAAAATATTGTTTTGAATACGGGCACAAGCCACCAATATAAAAGTCCACTCAAAAGTACCCATAATTGATATTTTCGGTGCCAGTCTGCCAAATGCCAAGCTCAAGAAACGTACTTTTAAAGACATTCTGTCAATATCGACAATGTGCAGTGGCAGCGAGTGGTGAGCGCAAATCTTGACTTGTTTCCACTAAAGTTGTTCCGCTAAATGTCGTCCACTGTTGGACAAAGGACATCCGTAAAGATCGTTTCATCCACGAAGACTCGTCCCACCATTCTTCCGCTAATGTTTGATAATAATGATCTATGAGTGCACACGCACACTACAATCAAACTTCCCGCACCCCGCGGTTCCCTTAACCAAAAATTGGTGGGGCACGTCTTCGTAGATGAAACGATGTATAGTTTTAAGTCCTAAACAATTTGCTATACAAACCTACAAAGCTCCCAATTAAAAGTATAGAAACGATCCAGTTCGTCTGTGATAGACTCGGTGTTTGGGGGAACTGCTCAGGGTCATTTAGCTTGGAGATGACTGGTGATGGCCAGCCTGCTGCGTACCCGAACATTATCTGGCCCAAACATGCTGAAAAGGGATATCACACTGTCAAAAAGCTACCGATTAATATCGTGTTTTTTAAACGTGACTATATCCACCTCTCGTTCCCACCGCTGTAACTCCTGTGTAGTCAGGATCTACAGCTTGACCGCCAATAAAAACCCAACCAGAGAAGGTCAAGTTTGTTCCGGGGAAAGTTAAACCTGTCATTGGACCCACAACGAAATTAATCAGAAGAACATAGGAGGAGTTCAAAGTTAAGGTTCGACTTTTATTGCAAAGCGAATGAGAGGTGACAAAAAAGGTTTAGTAACATTTAGTAGGGTTTAATTAGAGGACCGAGCGCATAGGACGTCCGACGACCTCATAAAGGTAGCAGGAAGGCGCTGGATGCAGGCCGCTACTAGCCGTTCACTATGGAAATCATTGGGGGAGGCCTATGTTCAGCAGTGGACGTCCTATGGCGGAAATGATAATGATGAATTAGATGACATAGAGACAGCCAAGGGAACAGGCCACAAGCACGCTATGGTACCTACTGTATTTTTATGAAAATGATGTGCTGTATTTCTTATGACAGGTCTTCCACAACTTTTGAAAGTTTTAATATTAATTTAAGAATAAGAATCTGGCACACAAAGCACTAACAATAAAGAAAAGTTTCAAAAAAGTGGGGACCTTTTTTCAGTATTAACGGACTTCTAAGGCATAAGTAGGTACGGTTGCGATTACAAAACAAATCAAATAGGTAATATAGGCAGCATAGCTTCCCTCAAAAAACAAATAGTGGCCAGTAAGTATGAGATAATTAAAAATAACGTGGATTAAAAAAATATAAAAAAACAATTGAAAACTTACCGACAAGCGCAATGAGGATTTGCTTCGCGTATATCGTTATCGTCCACAACATTATTAATAATTAATAATCCCACCGACACAGGTAAACTAATAGCACTGACATTCATACAAACATGCAACAATGTTGCTAAATCTGCACAAATAAGATAAAAACTTAACACTCCGATGCTAAATAATACCTAATCCTTTTTCTAGTTGAATGACTTAAACTTAAACCCAGTCAAACAGGTCTCCGTCTCAGAGATGTATGTGAAAAGAATAAATAAACCATGAGTGCGTTAACACTGTTGTTATTTAGAACGGTATTACATAACCGGTATTTATTTACAATACAGTCCATTAGCTCTACTTCATAGCAAACGTGTTGCCAAGTATCTATCACAGAAATGAACTAAAATTTATTTTGTCAAAATCTACAATCTTCTTGAAGCGTGACCCTGGCCAACATTTGCAGTGATAAAACCTATAAAGATTAGTTTGCAAAATTTGTCTAAACTAGTTATTTAGGGCATCTAGTAGATACCCTAAATACTGTAGGTAGTTAGATGTGTAGATTATGTATAGATGAAAAATGCCGGAAAAACGCATCACATCGAGATGCATTATTATGTAAATTATAGACTATTTATTATAAAACTATTTATTTATTTATTAAGAATTCATACAGCGTACAAAGTGCTAACTGTGTTGAATTTTAATATGAATTTTATTTCGAGTTTTTGCCCGTCTTCGTTTAGGTACTTTGTTATGGGTCTGCAATGCAATTACTTGTTTTAGTAATAAATTCTATTTCTCTGAAATAAAATTAAATATTTATTGATCACTTTTAACCATAGCTTTTAACACCATAAAAATCGGTTGAAATGTTTTATTACATCCAGCAAATAATATTTATACGTTCTATTTAAATTTTACTTTCTACCTATCAGATCTTTTTGAATATTTAAATCACTTTAAATATCACAGAGCTATGTCTTTAGGAACAAATTCATGAATGTACAGCAGAAAAATGTTTTGTTTGCACATGGAATGATTTTATCAATATTATCTAATCGAAATTCAATAATTTCTAGTATGACAATAAATGCATAATCTAGATTGACTGAAGATATGCATTGTTTTGTTCAAAGACACGTGAAAGACAAAACTTTTGATGATAAAAATAATCTAACGAAATAAAAAAGGCATTATGTAAATATTTAGTTGGATTTACGTTAACAATCAACTGCTTAAACATTTAAATCATCTACTTAGTGGTCTATTAAAGTAAGTGCATGGAAAACTCCGATGCATAAAAAAAGTAGATAATTCTGCTCCACAAATACATTTCCTTTACAGCATTGAACATTGCTTGTTTGTTTCTGTCCCATACCTACAACTCATATTATCAACTAAATGAATTTATCGTCTTGTCTTAGAAAGTATATTGCACTTCATCATCATCATTTCAGCCATAGGACGTCTACTGCCGAACATAGGCCTCCCCCAATGATTTCCACAAAAGCCGATCGGTAGCGGTCTGCATCCAGCCCCTTCCTGCTACATGAGGTCGTCGGTCCACCTTGTGGGTGGACGTCCTACGCTGACCGTACATGGCTTCCACTGCAAAACCTTGCTACCCCATCGGCCGTCAGTTCTGCGCACTATGTGCCCTGCTCATTGCTACTTCAGCTTGCTAATCCGTCGGGCATATCAGCGACTTTAGTTCGTTTACGTATCTCCTCATTTCCGATTTGAACTCGTTAAAGAAACACCGAGCATAGCCCTCTCCATAGCACGCTGTGCAACTTTGAGTTTCTTTATAAGGCCTATAGTGAGTTGTGAATTTATTGTACTTGCATTGGTCAATGAAGAATGTTCACTAATTTTGTTTTTTAGCTTTCTGTATTCTCTGTTAAAAATAAAAAATACACGTGAAAGAATTATTTCGATACGTCAATTAGTTTCCAAGATATTGAATTTTAAAAGTGCGGGCGGCGGCCGGCCCTCCATTTTATGCGCGTGACGTCATATTACAGTGACTGGCTCATATTTGTATGGGTGGAATCTTGAAAGCTGAATTAAGTAAGACCCACTTCCAGGCAACCGATTAAGCTGAAATTTCGCAAACACATGTGATTTGGATGACCATGCAATATTATGATGACATGGAGCTGATCTGATGATGGAGCTGGATAAAAAAATAACAGTCGCCTTTTAAGACATCCTCAGTGGGTCTAGACAAAGTGCAAATTATAATCGCAAACCAGTCGATAAGTGGTCGAAAAGCCCCTTTTTTGTATGGAGTTTTGACGGATTCGATTTTCGATTCGATCAAAAAGTGCGTTTTGTCTAGGGGGGCAGGAAGATTAAGGGTGAACTCTACGGCTACTAATGTTGAGTAAAAGTAGGATTATCTTACAAACTTATTTTATTGAGTAAGTAAGGGTAAGAAAAGGTTTTCATGTGTGGTGTATACCTTCAAAAAATTTCGATTCCTAGATGTACCTTGAACACAAAAAGTTTGCGGAATACTGACTTGGAAGAGTCTACACATATTTGAAGGTTATATTTATCTTAGATGAACACACTACCTTTTTAAACTGATAACGTGATAAGAAGATAATTTCTGCGACTGTTATTATGCGACTACTATGTAACTTGATAAGGAATTACTGCGCATGTGTGTGTTCATATAGCAACAATAAAAATTGACATGAATTATACAGGGTGTTCCAAAATTAGTAAGTCACACTGACAACAACAGAGGTAGATGAGGCTAAGACGCGTCGAAAAAGTCTACTAAGTCCATCCTACTAATATTATATTATTCGGCATGTGACGATGCACAGCATCTGGTGAGAGATGCGTCAAACTTCCGGTCTAGTTTTTACCATTTTTCACCACAAATGACGTCATTTCCGCTATAATTAAATAGGAATTGATTTGACTTACTTCCGTTTGCCGCCATATTTAGTCACCTGGGAGCGAGCTTGCTCGGAGTTCTTCATAGCGTCTTTAACTTTCGAGCTAGCAACATCATAAGCAGAAACTCTGCTCAAATTATTACTGAAATTTATTTCTCAACGTTTTTTATTATTAAATTTAAAAATTAAAATCTACCGTCTTAAGTTTATAAAGTGCTATTATGAGCGACCGCGAATCCAGTGATAGTGACATGTACGTTATGGTGGTCGGCGACAAACGGGACGAGTGCCCTCCGGACGACGAGCAGGTGGACCCAGAGCGTCGAATGCCGGAGAAACGCAGAATGGACCCCAGCGACCCGCCGGAGCGAGACTCAAAACGGATGAAACGAGGTACGTGGGACTCAGATCGCTTTAACACTCTTATAGACCAAATGAGCATGCTTACGAATCTCTATATGAATAGTTTGAATAACGCACCTCCATCTAATACGATAAATACGACCCCGTCCGCCCCAAGCGTACCCGTCTCGGATTCAAACGCGCTGTTAGCATCGACACAATCTAGCGACGGCTGTTTTTTACAACGACCTACTACGCTGACAGACAACAACCTCAAATTAGACCTTGCCACTGTCAATACCCTTTTGAAGGAGCCAAATCAGCCAAAGATATCTAGCTCTGATCCATTGCGTGTAAAAAGGATAGAGGAACTGCAGAGGTTCAACGATAGTAATTGGAAACAGATTCGTTATACAGAAGTTATGAAGGCTCATTGTGCCCAACCTGGCTTTGTGGAATTAGGCATAAATGACGAACTTCGTCAATTTTCGAACGGGAAACATTACTTTACCCACGTCGAACGATCATTTGCTGCGCTTTCGAACGCACTACTGGCTCAACAGGAGCATCTCAAACAACAATTACAACAATTTGTAGACTGGACAGCTACCCCCAAACCGAGCTTTCAGCCGCTAATATCTTCGACAAAATATCTGATCTTTTTGGTGCAAAATCTAAACACCACAAGTTAAGTGAAGATATCATGCAAATAGTCTGTGGGAAACGTGCTGAGTGCATCGAACAACGCCGGGAGCGTATCCTGGCCGAAATTCCATATGCATTACGCGACGGGCTACGTAAAATCCCTCCGAGTGCTGAATTTCTATTTGATAAAGCCGCCCTGAGCGCATATATACAAAACACTGGTGGTGTTGACAAATGGATTCGTCCATGGTTCTCTAACGACAAAGAATCCAAAAAACCTACTACTTCAAAGCAAACTCCGAAGGCGGGCCCCTCTCGCGAGTCCCGAAATAACTCCTTTCGCTCTCAACAAAGATCAAAGGATTCCAAACCAGAATACTCATCCTCAGGTTCTAAGGCAACCAATAATCAAAAATTCAAAAAATTCAACCGAAAAGAAGGGCAGGGTAACGAAAAGAACAAAACCAAATGACTATCTACTCAGCAAATTTTATGGGGGCTGCCTCCGAGCGTATCGGAGGCAGTGGCAGGCGTGTCAGGCTCCGAAGGCCATCCTGGGAATGATCACAGGGATGCGTCTGCCATTTACCTCCAAGCCGGTGCTTGGCCCTCCAACACCGTGCAACATTCAGCGCTTCAGCACTCACCACTCCCCAGAAATGACCAAACAAATCAAAGCACTGTTAGAGCAGCAGGTGCTGGAGTTACCAAACCAACACTCACTTGGTGTGAGCTTCTTCTCCTCAATGTTTCTTCGCAAGAAAAAGGATGGGTCGAACAGGCCCATTCTAAATCTCAAACGCCTCAATCAGTACATAATTCCGAAAAAGTTTTTGCTAATCTCTCACTTCCAAATACCGAAATTTCTACAAAGACAGGATTGGTTGGTGAAAATCGATCTCTCCTCAGCGTATTTTCACGTGCCAATAGCGGAGAGTCACCGTCGGTTCCTCCGCATGACTTACCAAGGTCAAGTGCTCCAAATGACCAGTCTCCCGTTCGGGCTGTCTTGCGCACCGAAAAACTTCGCTACGATCACAAACTGGGTGACCCACGTGCTCAGAATGAAAGGTATAAGAATTATTGTGTACCTCGACGATTTTCTCCTAGCAAACCAGTCCAAACAGCATCTAGAACGAGAGGTATGTGTAACTCTTCATTTTCTGAATCACTTGGGTTGGACTGTGAATCACGAGAAGTCCAAGCTGCAACCCACACAAAACCTCGAGTATCTGGGGATCAGATGGAACACCGCGGAGAATGTCAAATCCCTACCTCAGAGAAGTACAGAATCAATTCATTTAATCACGAGAAAAATCCTGAATGCAGGCACCATAACCCTGAAGGAGTGTCAACAGCTGCTGGGCACCATGAATTTCGCCAACTTTACGACCCCAGGCGGAAGGCTCAATTGTCTCCATCTCCAAAGGTTCTGTCGCAAGATTCGGAATCTAACCCCGGATCAACAAGCGCCCATAACAACGACGGTAAGACTAGATCTACAGTGGTGGCTTACCACAACAACTTCATCTCACATAACCAGTCCTATACACGAGACCCCAGCTCAGCACTTCCTTACAACGGATGCAGCAGACTACGGGTGGGGAGCCCACCTAGACGACCACAAAATATCAGGCAAGTGGACCCACAAGCAAGAGAACTGGCATTGCAATCGGAAGGAGATGTTTGCAATCATATCAGCAATCAAGAAATTCAAACATCTACTGTCGGAGAGTCATGTGATCTTGCAATCGGACAATCGAACCGTAGTCGCCTATATTCGAAACGAAGGGGGGACACGCTCGGAACCACTTCTAGAATTGACACACCAATTGTTCCAACTTCTACACAATTGGAAAATAACCTTGACAGCGGAGTATCTCCCAGGTCCTTACAATCAAATAGCCGACGGCCTGTCCCGGGGAAAAAGACCTCCCGAGTGGCATCTTCTGAGTCCAGCTCTGAAGGTAATATTCCAGAAGTTCGGAAAACCGGAGATAGACCTATTCGCATCACAGAATGCCAAGATATTAGGAACGTACGTGTCAAGAGACTCCAGGGACTTATCAGCAGCTTTCTGCAACGCCTTCAGCAGGAGGTGGGTATACAAACTAGGCTGGATCTTTCCTCCCCC